GGGATGTGAATACCCCGAAAGTAAAAATGCTTCAAGATGCAAAGTCTCAAAATATCCTGTGATGAAAGATAATTTGACACCCTTGAACATGAAAACCGTGTCTTGTTCTCAATGTGACTTTTAATTATGTACAAATCTTATAAACATATTATGTGTTTGTATTGTACATTTTAACATCAACTTCGATTTTTTGAGAAAATCAATAAGAGCTTCGTTTTTTTTTCGGTATACTATCTTGAATTTTTTAAATAATGCTAAGCTTTATTTTTTATTTTGTTTTCTAAAGCTTCAAGTTGATAATTTTCTTCTCTTTGCCTATCACATCACGAGTCCTAATTGATTATAGAATCAAATCATCCTCAATACCAAAATCACTTTCCAAACCGTACAACAAGCAATAAGAAAGAAAAACTTAGCTTTGCTTGAGAGATAGTAAATGGCTGCGGAAGGGCAAGAGATTGTCCGCGGCATTACCGAGGTGTGGAAGGAGAAGTTCGAGGAGTCAAAAAGATCTAAGAAACTCGGGTGTGACGCATGCAAATTTATGGTCCCAGCTTTGATAGAGTTAGCCGACCCAAAATGACATTCTTAAAGGCGGATCCAAAATTACCATCCGACTTTGGTGATTGGGAAGTGATTGCATTCCAAAACTTATATTCTCGCTGAAATAAGGGGAAATAGCGGACAAGAATCAAGGTTCTAATAAAGCAATTGGGGTCCTCCGTAAAAAAAGTATGCAACCGAAGCTACGTGATGTATGAATGTTACGGGAATCACCAAGATCCTAAAGTTGTTTTTGTAAATTGCGGTAGTTATAGATTGCATGCCCATTTTCATCCGTTTTATTTATACGAATAATGTTCTCTTTTCACCAATAGAATCTATGTTTACATCCTAGTGCTTAGCTTGTCTACAACGATAGATTATAATTTTTTTTCAACAATTTGATGTGAAAAAGAATCTAGACATCTTAATAAATGACTAATCAAAGTAGCATCAAGATTCAAGGATAGTCACAAGAGTAGTAAGAATACATCAAAATAAAATTATGACAAAACCATAACTAAAAATCGTAAAGATTCTTTAGTTGGATAATCTTCAAACAATATCTTCAAATTTGGTTGAGAAATCAACTTGAACCTACTCTTTGAATTAAGGATAGCCAAATCTAGCAAGATTACTTCCACCTTGGTGGTGGATTATAGATCATCAAATTTTGAGATGAACTCTGTCAAATTACTACATTATTAGATTATTGCACAAACATTAAAGACCTTCATCACAAAAATATCATAACATATTAAAATAGCTGCTCTAGTAACTCGTGAAAAACATACTAGAATCTTGTAATATAGACATCTAATACGATCGCTAAACAAGCAACGTATTTAGTGACGATCCGCAAGAAACTTTAACGATAGAAATTATGTCGCTATTTAGTGACAAAAATAGTGAATTAGCAACGATTTTGTGACAAATATGAAATCAAAAAAACGATTTTTTACTAATTTTTAATGATAGAATTTCTACACATTAGCGGCGGATTAGCCGTTGCTAAGTAGCAACGAAGAAATTTTTCGTCGTTATTAGTTTATTAATAATCAAAATTAAGCTTCTTTTTTTTTTCAAACGATCTTAGTATACACCTATCATATCAGTTTAGTGCATTAAAAAAATTAATTAATAATTTAAAAATATATTATTAAAATAAACTAAAAATGTATAATTGATTGGTTGTAGATGAAAACCTATATTCTTTCTTTTCCAAAAAAAACAAAAAAAAATTTTCGAAGAAATATAATTTGCGATTGTATTGTTGAGGATGCTACAATCATCAATTTGACCTTATAAATAATATACAATTTTTCGAAACATGGTAGTTTGGACATGCAAATTATTAGTGAATAAATGAAGCAAGTATTTATAAATTAAACAAGATAAACAATTCAAGTTTATCTTAAAGTCGATAATGATTGCTTTCGATTCATTGGAAGAGAGCACCAACTTGTGCTTGTAATTGTATTTGAGACACATTTTTCTTTCTTGATTATTTTTTATTTTTTTCTTGTATCGTGATTTGCACCAAATGTTCTTTTTTACCTTTTAGCCATCTAGTTAGATGATCTAATAACAAATTCTTATTTGTATTAGTATCACAATTAAGATCATTTTCATCTTGATCATTATTGTTCCCATCCGCAACTAAACTACTTTGGTACTTTGAAAGCTAAAGCTTAACATTATTCAAATCATGGCGAGCCATCTTTGACAAGTTTTTATCGGTAGCACCAATACTCATCACATTAAAAGATCTTCTCATTAGCCCTTACTCTCATTTCTCATGCTTTTTGTTCATACTAACTAATGAATTCAATCAATGTCATTATTTTAGTAGTCATTTGATTGAAAACAAAATTGTTACTTTCACTTCTTTGTGTTAACTTAGAAAAATAACCATGATTAAATGCAAGAGACCACTTCTCTCTCAATCCATACAAAGTATTAAGCCATTTATTATCTTGTAGATCAAACTTCTCAATCATCTCATGACATAACACTTTAAATTCAAATGGTGAGTTTACTTTCCACATCAATTTGTTAAAATATTTATCCTTAAATTCTTGAATCCCCATCAAATATGAAATATTTTACATTGCATTTCTCTCAATATGCCATTCACATAAACGATGATGAGTAGATTTAAAAACCTCTTCAACACCTTTAGCTATTGAAGGAGCTTGATTGCTAAAAATAGTTTTCGGTTCCTTACCTCCCATTGACTCCAAAAACGTTTCAAACAACCAAATAAAAGAATGATGAGTTTAATTAGACAAAAATGCACATCCAAAAAAAGAATTATTCTAGTGATTATTGATACTTACAAATGGTTCACAAATCATATTGTATTTATTTATGCGATATTTAGAGTCAAAAATCAACACTTCTCTATAAATTTCATAAAACGAGATAGACATTCCATCCCTCGAAAAGAAATTCATTAGTCGACCATCATCATCTAGTTGGATAGCATAAAAGAAACTAGGGTCTTCGGCTTGCATTCTTTTAAAATGGTTTAAGACACATTGAGCATCCCCTCCACTAAACAAACTTCTTCTACTCTCTTGTATAAAATTATGACAATCTTGTTCCGTAAAGCCTACATTTTGAGCACCACCACTCTCATTCACCATATACCTAAAAGCTTTCTTAGCTTTTATATCAATATCTACGTTGGAACTAAGAATAATTTTGCTAGGCTCGTTATCTTTCTAGCTGAAAATACCTAGTGTCTATGTGATTCCTCAAGCATTTGATGATTATGTTCATCATCAAATAAAGTTACTTCCCATATCTTATTAGTCACTTTGAAAATGATTCTAGCTTTACATCCATATCTATATTCTAATATTTCTCTCTTTCTTTCCTTATCTTGCCAATAACACTAGATTTCCCTTCATATGAATGATTTATTATTAACAAATAAATTTTTCATTTTTATTATAAGATTTCTTCCCTTCCTCACACCAAAACCCTTTCTAAAAGCATACAAATTGTATCTATTATATGCTTCATCTTCCGAATAAAAATGCATTCCAACATTAAACACAAAGTCTTCCTTCACATGATATGCAGCAGATGATGTAACACCTCCATTCTCATCTAAATAATGAAAATAAATTTACAAATTTATCATTTATGTATATGATATTAATTATAATATGTTAAGCAATAACAAATATATCATGAAAAATATAAATTTACCTGTTTGAAGAGCCATATCCTTTACAATCAAAACCACAAAATTATAGTAAAGATCTTATTTTTGTTGCAATGCCTTCCTATCAAGGTGCTTTATGAGACACGTTCTTGAAAAAAGACAAAATTCTACCTTGTTTTTGCTATCTATATAGAATAAAAAGTAATGTATACTAAATAATACCGTATGGAGTTCTTATATCAACGGCAAAAAATCCCAATTATGGTAGAAATTAGTTATTTGAAATTGATCAGTTGTTTAATTACTCTTTTCTCTTCTTTTTGATTTTTACATCAAACAGATTTTGATTTTACCATTTACTATATCATTGCAAATTCCAACTTTCAAAGCCATATTACGGACTCAAAAATTCACCAAATTAAGAATAGAAACTAATAAAACCTAACTTCAAAAATCAAACCCAAGAACAATAGATTAAAAAAAAGTTGAAGAATCAAATCCAATAACAATAAAATAATATACATGACGTGAATTAATAAAAAAGAAAATTAAGATACTCACATCAAATTACACTTAGATTTGCAATTATATAGTCTCTTGATTTGGATTCGAGATACTACATTTTCTCTTCTCTTAGATTTTACAAGAGACTAGTTTTCTCTTCTCTTCAAATTGCTTTTGGATTTTTTGCAATTAAGATGAAAACCTTAATTCCTTTACTTTCTCTTCAAATTGCTCTTGGGGTTTTTGCAAGAGAGAAAGCTCGGCTTTCAATGTTTTATAGCCACTACAAAACCTTAATCACGCTTCTTTCTTTCTTTTTTTTGTTACTCACACACCCAAGATTCCTAGCGGAACTAGTCCGTTAGGATTTGAACCCGTGACCTTTTGTTGCAAGAAACCACTATCATTGGTCTTTGGTTAATCACGCTTTTTTCTTTCTTTTCATGCAAGATTATTTTTAAATCCACGTGTACCAAAAATTTTTATGACATAACAACTGAAGTTTATAAGAGATGAAGTAACTTATCACTGCCATTAGTTACTCTTTGTGTATTATAAAATTTTTCGTTCACTTGATACATTCAAGAAAACTGTTCTAGTGCAATATGCGGATCAAAAAATTTAGCTCAGATAAAAACGGAAAAGGAGACTTTAGCTTGTACAATTAGAAACACCGTCTCAATGGCTTTGCAGAACAATTTTCTACATGCTGCACAAGATTGCCAAAGGCTTGTTACTGTTTTTAACAGCTCAAAGGGGACAAGGAGACAGGGACAGCTTATGTATTAGTAGCAAAATAAGCTTTGAAATTTTGTGCATTATGTTGATAACAGACTACAGGATTGCAGTGGCATGAATGGAAGGAAATAAAATTGACAATAGAAGAGGTTGGCACCAGCGGATCACGATACCAAGCTTGGTATGCCAAATTGGGGGTGGAAAGTTCCATCATGAACTGCCGCCACGAGGGACTTCCATCGCTCTCATCTATGTAAGACATCAGCGGCTTCAAATCATCCCTCTTTAATTCTGAAACATCATTCCATGAATCGGACTGCAACGAACTAGAAATGGAGCGCAAAATTAAGTCTCGAGTTCTAATTTTCAAGACAACGTAGAAGGGAGGGCTCCTCATAAACCTACCAGCCAGGAAAAGCCCTACTGCATGCATCAGCAGAGGAAGCATTCAACAGCGGCGACCCAAACTTGTCATTGATGCTGCTTGAACTATGCTTCTCAAGATTGAAAAAAGAGAGCAAAAAGAAAGTTGCCACCTCCAGACCATGACCATCTCTTGAGGAGGCACAGGCTTTTGCCTGATAATACCATCCAGACCAGAGCCAGCACTATCACCACAAGTACAGATATCATAGCAGCCGAGAGAAACTCATCTCGTTTCCTGTAGTTTTCCTCAGCTATGCGCAAAACAAGTACCCTTTTAATATTATCTGTCTCTACAAATATCCTTCCTCCCCCCACCCCCTTGGAAGCAAGGTATTCCTCACCTGCACTCTCTCTGCCTCCGTCCTTCGCTCTGGGATAAAAAGTCATTTGGGTTTGCAGTGTTTAGTGCTGTCCTTTCGTGCTTTGATTTTAAGTAATTGGCGCTAGTAAAGCATCAACCTTTCCATCCCAGACTTGAAAAGGATGAAATTTGAATCTGATCAGTCATGTAACCGGTTTCACAAGGTTATAAAGGATCTATTTATCCCATCAGGCGAGAAAAACTAAAGCAATCCGCGCCTAATCAAATTTTGTACAGGATTATCCACTCTAATGATAAATAAGACAAAGTATCCGGGATTCCACAATTGCTTCTCCTTATGCAAACCTGTTTATAATCTTTTGTGTGTGGGGATCTGGTTCTTCAAGACACTCGTTATCATGTTTTCATGAAACCGGTATGGAAGTGTTTCTGTAGCCATCATTGTGGTAATTTTGATGATACGAAGACTTGTTGCATGTAATGACAAATCCTACATGTTCCGTATTGTTGTTCACCACGGATGTGGAACTCTTCAAAGCTATGCAAGATTTTTCTGTTCTCCTCAGTCATTTAATTTCAGATATATAATTATCATCCAAAAGAGTAACAGATATATAACCATCTGAATTGTGCATTTTAAGCATAAATAATATTCAGCTTGTTTTTAGATCAGAAACCAGACATACATGTAGAGATGGCAGCTAATTAGGGCTAACCTACCCGTAAAATGTCTCTAAGATTGCTCTCAAAATACAGTCAACCTGTATACATCCCCAAAAGGTCAGCAATACATGCGTAGTGAGCCAAAAAATATCTGACAACGAAAAATGGGGGAAAAGCTTAAATAATTGCACAGAAGAGGATCCCTGCAAAACTGATGAAATTCTCAACAAAATCAAACCATTCGTTAAGCAATGCCAAAGGAGAACCTTTTCTTGTGGTCTCGATGTACAACAGCTCTTATTCCTGACAGAAGAAAAAACAGAACATATTAATAGCAGAACCCTTTGTGATTAAAGGAAATTGCATAATATCAGAACCCGTTACCATGGAAGAAACAGAGGGAAAAAAGAAAGAAAGAAAGAAAGCAAACAATAACATATCATATATTTTAAAAAACATGCTACGAAATGGATTGATACCATGTGGATAAAATGGCACTCTATATGGGCAGGAAGAAGGCCTTTAAAAGAATTGAAACTCCAATAAATACAATACAGAACTTGTATGCCAATTGAAGACTGATACACAGAGGTGAAATTTACAGCTAGTCAGCTATCGACACATTCAAATCCTCAGAGTTGATTAATGCAGATATTGAAGTGTCTTACTGTGACAGCTTTTTCTCTTTTGACATGGATGCATCAGCTGAAAAATCATATTAACTGCTATCCAAATCATTTCCTATTGCTATCCTCCAAACTTTTACACACTAATGAGTCATGGTTATCAACTAGAAGTGGGTTAGAAGGACTTAGAAAAGGGATTCCTTTTATCAGGTGTTGTCAGGAAAGGGGTCAACCATTCCTGTTATCTCTACTGTAGCATCTGTGTAAGAGAAATTCACCTCAGAAATCAGTGGGCCACCTTAAGTGCTTGGTGGAATAAAATTCCCATTTGTAGTGCGTCTAAGGGTTGGAAATTGGATTATGCCACAGTGGGTTCTAGAGCCATTGGCATTCTATTATGGACGAGGGAAATGGGAAGGAGAACTGATCCCATCATTTGTACTTAAATTCTTGCATTAAGGGGAGGAAGAACAAAGCCTTCAAAGCAGTGGCAGCAAATCAATTTTACAAGCAATCCCAAACACAAAAGCCAAAAAATCCCAGCCTTTTAAGCAGATGCTACAAATAGCTTTGTGTGGAAAAATATAAGGAGAAAAAGCTAAGGGTGCGAGCACAAAGATCTGGAGAAATTAGTTCTGGACCCATATTTTAAGTAGAATGATACCTGTTCCATAGGTGTGGCTTCATTATCTTTTTGTTCCTCCGAATTGTCTGGCTCGGCCTCATTTTGACTGTCAGTAGCAATTTTGTCATCTTGTTCTTTGACACTGTCTGACCCAGTATCATCCAAAATTTTAAGATCTGCAGGAAGTTGACCGGAGTTCAGTGCCTGTTATTTGATAACAATTTGGACATGAAATGTTAGTACTGAGATATTGACAAAGATTCAAATTCAAGATATTCCAGTAAGCAAACAGACGCACCTTTTCAAGTCGTGCAACTTCTTCAAGAGTCTGGGAATTGACAATGGCAGCCTGCATACCAATCATACAACCAAATGAAACAGATGATAACCCAAATTAATCTAAAGATGCACTGATGGAAAAATATGCAGTATCCATCACAAGCATGATTTAAGAGGAAAGGAAAAAAAAACTGTAAAGTAACTTCAAAATCCAAGTTTATGATCGTTAGGAACAATAATGGTGCTTCTACTTCATACAAAGAAAAGGATGTTCAAGAAAAAGAAGATTTAACATAGAAGTTGTGCCTGAACCTGAAATAAGGCCTATTTCAAACATAAATGATTTTTCTCTGGTCCGCAATAAGTCAGCTATGGTTACTTGGGTTGCTTGACTGTTCGTTCCTTGTTTAATAGGCTTTTCTTGGAGTTTCAGAGTTAGGATTAGTTCTGCACTTTCAGTATTTATTGGAAACAGAATAGCAGACATTCAAGGTGTCATTTTTATTCACATGTCTTACTAGTCCAACATGTGGTATTTATTCAGGTTTTCCTAGTTAAAAAAAAGTAGTAAAACTTTTTACTTCATTATAGAAGAGTCCAGACTCCAAGTTCCATGAGGTTGAAGGCATAAGATAAATCACAATTGAAGGCCTGTGATCTTTTCATTCATAGAGGCAATAACATTGCATTATTGAGATCTCAGAAACCATCAGATGGTGTGATTGCCTTCTCCTCAGAGGTGCATTTGTGATGGCTTAGGAAACATAGCTATAATTGCCTCTACTCCCATGTATTTTTCTTCTTTCACAAATATGCACTTAATTCTTCAAAATCAAGCCACTAAACAGTCATCAAAACTCCATCTTTTCAAAGTCAAATCCAGCCGTAAACCATGGTTTTCTCTTCAACCATAGAAAAGCATAAAAGAAGATAGGTTGTCTGATATTGCTACACAAGTAACTAATTTATCTCTGAACATTAGTTAACTAACAGTTCTCATATACAACTAAAAAGAAAAAGAAAAAGAAAAAGAAAAGACAAGGGCATCGAATATCATGCAAAAACTGCATGCCATGCTCAATACGATGTGCTCAAAGATCCAGCTAGATTAGTTAGAGAGTAACATTTCAGTCAACCCAATACATGCTGGTTATTTGAAATTGCTAGCAATACTCATAGCTAGGACCCAAAAAATAGGTCCATCAGGTTGGATCAATCTGACATTGAGCAAATTTGATGGTTTTCCACAGTTAAGTGGGCAAAGCAGGTTGAGAATCAAGAATGCCATCTGGAATTTTGGTGTTTTGGACAAGAAGGGAAATTTACAAAATGATGTTCATGCTTAGGGCAGATGAGATAAGTCATCCGCAGATGACAACCAATTAACCATTATATCATGATTAGTAATGGAGCTGACTCCCTTTTCCTAAATAATCAAAAAGATAAGGTTGAGTATGTTTGGATAGGGTAAAGTTGGAAAGGACCAACACGTTGAACTTGACCACTCCTGATGCACTAGAGCACATCATAATCATATACATTCTTTTTCTTCCAACATAGATGACCAGAGAGTAGGAAATTTAAGCATTAAAGACAATGCCAAGGCACTCAACATGTTAGAACATACTCAATACCTCCACACCTACCAAAGTTTTGTGAGGTTGACATCAAGTACTAAGGTGTAATGAGCATGGTACCTTGATTGCTAAAATCTGCTCTGGTGTAGGGGCAACCACTTGAGGAGCCTGTTGTTCATCAGCAACTTCTGGAACATTTGGAACCTCGCCTGGAGTGAATGTCTTGACAGATTCCCTTTTAGCCTCTTCTTCAACCTCTTTGGATGCAAACAAATGTTCTGCTTCTGCTCTCTCCTACAATTCACAGGCAATATTGCAAAGCAATTCAACACGAGTAAACATAAAAAGCTACAGTTCAAAAATATAACAGACTGAAGAAGCACTTTTCAATCTTCTATGCAATAGCACTCGTTTAGAACTCTGGTATTGTTTACGTAAAATATAGTATAGTACACTACTTAAACAAAGCCAAGTGTATGAGAAAATAAAGGCACCAAGCATGCGTAAAAGAGCAAGGAACTGCAGAACAATGAAGCAAATTTGATAAAGCAATATAGTCTCACCTTGACTTTGACTTTCTTAAAATCTAGAACCCGAAGTGATTTTAGTTTGTGAATCACATAGAGCCTATAATTGGGCTTTTTGGTGATGTTATTATCCAAAAGACTAAGGAACTGCAGCTTTGGAAGAGAAACAAGAGGGTCAATCTCCGCTAAATTGACAAGCCTATTGTTTGTAAGAACCAATGTGTGTAGTTTTGGCAAGTACTCTGCAAAGTAAAGCAACATAAACTTGTTGTACTTAGTAAAACCTCCAAGAAACAGGGGGCACCATAAGGTCCACGTTAGGATGCATGACTTGAAGAATTGAAGTGTTGTTAAAAAGCTTACCTCCGATGTTGGGATTGATACGGGTAATTCTGTTGTTATTAATTATCAAAGTGCCCAACCGATTAAGATAGGGCATGTTTTCCAGCTTGACAATCTCATTGTCAGACAAATCAATTGTATCAAATTGATCCTGGTGAATAATAGAAACAAGCAAAGCCACAGTCATTGAACTGTAAGTGGAAGACATACAACTCTACACCATTAATGCTACATAAAACTAGTACAGAGCAAAAAAATATACAGCCAACTTGTAAAGAATAAGGCAATATTATTAAGCTGATGAGCATTACTGGGTTAAAACAAACAATGTCAATTTCAATTTAGTGACTGTGGGCTGTGGCCGCGTGTACATAAGCTCGAATTACACCACGCACACAAAAATAGAAGCGAGGGCATTAAAGAAATTAACTAGTAGTGTACACTGACACAGGGAGTACAAAACCTAATTCAGTCCAAATTTGATTTCGGGCAGGCATTATACATGACAAGAAAAGAGTGACTTTAATTCAGGCTAGCAAGTTCAAACAAAAGAAGAAGAAGAAGAAAAGTAGTACCTCAGTCGCACCCAAGTTTTCGATTACAGGAATCTTGTTACCTGCAAGCCAAAATTCGATTTTCCCCAGATATATTAAACGAACAAGGAAGGAATAGAAGGGATTGTGCGCGCGCGCGTGTGTGTTAGGGTTTAAGGTTTTGAAAGGAAAGAAATAGAGATTAAGGAGAGACCTCTAAGATCCAATTCGCGCTCCTTAATGGCATTGAAGAAATGAGGGCTTTTCCAAATCAAGTCGGCTGTCAGTCTCACCATCTCTTCTTTTCTTATTCTTTCTTCTTCTCCACTACTCGCTTCTCTTCTCTTCTATTCTTTTGGTACTACTGTCAGTTGTTCTATTTATGCAAAGCAGTGCTGCCAATTTTTGCAAACTATTTCTCTTCTATGCGTAACGGAGGGAGGGAACCCCGACGCTGGTGTTAGCCTGTAACCTAATACTACTGTTTTTCCTCTTTTATTATGGGCGTTCTGCTTATCCTTTTACTTTTACCTGTTTGTTAGAAACGTCCTTTAACTTTTTTCTTTTACCATTTTTATTCGTTACATTTGGTTTTTGTATTATTTACATCTTACTTCTAGAATCGACGAGCAGTACTGTTAAATATTACCGTCTAGACTATGAGATGTGATACGTATTTAATTCAATAAAATATTGAATAAAAAAATTGAATTGGAAATATCATTAAAAAAAATCAAATCTAAATATATTATTTTTTAAGAAGTTAACGATAACACTAGTATATAATACTTTAAAGTGATAATATTTTATTCTTATCATTTAAACCTAAAAAACAAAAAAAATATAAGCCTATTTAAATTAAAGCAGAAAAGTGATCTTACATGTCTATTGCGTACCTATTTAATGTATCTTTAATTGTAAATCGGATGGAAGATTGATTGATCAAAATCTAAGCGATAAAGGATTCAATTGGAACAATCAATAGGTATGGAACCTAATTGAGATAGACATGGTAGTTTGGAGGTAAATTTGTCCTTTCTTCTTCGAGACTTTACCAATGCATTGACATAAATTCAGTTATATATTAAAATTTAAATACACGTGACTCTTAAACTAAAAAATTCCACTTAACACATTATATTATTATAAAACTTTTTATTTATTTTAAACAAGTACTTTCGATTGAATGTGATATGAATTTAACTTAACAATACATACATGAATAAGAATTTTATAGATCGGTTTTTTTAATAATTCTTGTCTTTCTTTAATGTTATTAGCATAGTTCTAAAAGAGTAAAAAGATAACATAAAAAATAAATAAACTAAGGATTCAATTTAATAACTTTTGAATTTTGATGTAATTTAATTATTTTCGGATCTTAGTACGTTATGTTTCTTGTTATCTTGTTTCTGAGTTTTTTTTTTTTTTTTAAGAGTTTCGACAATTAAAATAAAACATCGGTTTAAGACTATATAGTTCAAGATTTAAGTAGTTTATTTTATGTTTATTGATGCGTCGTGAATTATTTAACTAATTTAAAGTGTTTTTTTAATTCAAATACACTGTTTAAAATTTTTTATAAATTAATTTGGATGTTTATTAATAAATATTGCTTTTTGTCAATGAATTAATTTGAATGTTTATTAAATACATGTGTTTTAGTTTCAAATAATTTTATATAAAATTTGAAAATTATAAATAAACTAGTTTTTTTAACCACATAAAACATATTTAACTGGACTTTAGTGAAAATTAAGAATCTACATTGAATTATCTTTCAAAATAATTAATAGTTAGGATAAATATATATAACCATAAAAAAACAATTTCTAAATTTTTTCACTTAACATTGTATTATTATTAACTTTTTTTCCTAAACAACCATTTTCAATTGTATTTTTCATCAATATAGATTAAAAGTACAAACTTGAATAAAAAAAATTATAAATTATTTTTCTTAATAGATTTTGACTTTTTTAATATTATCAATATTTTTTTCGCAAGAGTAGAAAAAAATAGTGTAAGAAAAATTAAAAAAAAATATATATATATATAATTAACTAAGGATTCAATTCAATAATTTGGTGAATTTTAATATTACTTTATTATTTTCGGATTTTAATACTTTACGTTGTTTATTAGCTTGTTCCTAAGCCTTTTCATAGTTTTATCTGTCAAAATAAAATACCAATATAGTTATATACAATTTAGAGAAATTTAAGCAGCTCGCTTGATGTTATTAAGATATTAAGTGGTGTATAAGTATGAAAACAGTGTAAAAACGGATAAAACCCTATATTTTATGATTCATTTAAAAAAAAACTACCCTATCTTTTAGGAATGAATAACTTTTTAATGAAATTTACTTTTTTATTATTATTAAAAATAGAGTTGAATTTACTTCTTAGCATTGATAGTAGTATATCAAAGGATTAATAATCGATCAACTTTTTTTTTAATAATTCATGATTTTATATATAGTTATAATTTGTGATTATCGTGTGGTCTATGAATGAGAAAATAGTGAAAAAATAGAATTAATCTGTGATTCGTTTTTAAGAATTTTATAAATACGATGTTTTTTTTAATTACAAGTAGAGCTTTCAACTAATCGGATTCAAATTACATTATAATAGATCTAGATCTGATTTTGTTTAGTAAAATGGATCGGATTAAGTCTTATAAATTTGGATTAAGTTTTGAAGATGTGTAATTAAATTTGGATCTTAATGGACTCAAATCGAATTTGAAACTCCATCGGATTTATCACTTGATTTTTATAAAAAATTTATGGTTACAACATTTCATGTATTGCTCAAACATAAACTATATTTTGATCACTACATGTATAATAAAATATGTTAAAATAATATTTCATTTATCGATTTTGTAAAAAACTCAAAATGCCACACAATTCAAAAGTACATAATCAAACAATTTTAATAAAAAGTTTATCTTGAACTAATTAGAAAGTATGATAATTTTTTTTTAAAAAAAAATCTCTACTTCTTGTCCATGCGGTAGCAAAAATAGAATGATGACATATATAATAACATTAAGTCTTGAAAATGTATATAAGTCAATTTATAATTTTTTTATAAAATAAAAGACAAATTCAGAATTTATGCATGATTTTTTTTTAAAAAAAAAATACAATCAGTATTGTTAAATAATATGTGTTATTTGGACTTTATAATAAACAAACTATAAATTTCAACCTATCTTCATATATATATATATATTATTTTTAAAAATATTATTTTTAATTTTGGATCAAATTATTATCAGATCGGATCAAAATAAATCTAAATTTAATCTATTTAATAAAGAAGTTAACATATTCGGATTATAATTAGACCCGAAGTAAAAATATTATTTACTAGATCTATGCAATTATATCGAATTCGAATCAAGATTCTATTCATTTACAATTCTAATTATAGATGCAAGCCAAATTCATTTATTAGTATTAATAGTTAATTAATGTTAGTATTGTATTAAGAGTAAATTAAAAGTTTCTAACGAGTTTATATTTTTATACAGCTAATGTTCTAATCATCCAAGTGGATCATTCTTAATGGACAATGAGATGCCAATACGTCGTCGTATCATCTCGAACGAAAAGCAAGCTGTCTATAGACACCACTTGATCAGCAATTAACGGTATTGATTCAAAGACATGACGTGGCAATCTAATTTGTCTTCTTCCTTAACCTGCCCCACCTTCTTTCCTTCTTTTCCAGAAACCCATAGGTGGCACAACTGCATTCACAGACGGAGGCAAAACCATTTCATTTATAAACCAAACCAGCTTCATATGATTACCGATTATTCCTTATATCAACTGATACAAATCCTTGTTTAACTTTTAGTTAACATGGAGCGTGTCGCATTAAGGCTTCTGGTGGCGACTGCAGTGATTTTAACCGCTGCGACGGAGATTACTGGCGAGCGAGTCAATGAAACTTCTGCTACGGCTGGGTTAGTATGGTCGACGGGAAAAGAGAAGTCTGATCTCTTGGGTAAGACTGAGCCGGAAAACAGCGACGATTCATCCGCTGCTGCGGTTGTTAACGACCATGATAACCTTGACGGCGGGTTTTCTTCTCTCGAGGGGATGTTACAGTGGGCCATTGGTATTTTAACATCCCCCCCCCCCCTCTCTTTCCAATTTTTGAATTTTTTTAGTGGTAACATTCTTTTTGTGATAAATTAGGGCATTCTGATCCGACGAAATTAAAAGAAAGCGCAGAAGATGTCCAGCGTTTGTCTGCTAGTGAGTTACAGAAGCGTCAATTAGAAATTAAGGTTGGAATTTTTAGTAACCAAAGGTTTGGTTGTTTTGCTTGTTCGCTTGCTTCTGCTGCCGACAGTAAGCTGTAATTAACCCTTTCTGCTGTTGGTTTGGTGATATAGGAGTTGATAGAGAAGACCAAAATGCCATCTGATGCCCAGCTGATGCAGACAGCAATAGATGATTTAAATAACTCATCTTTATCTTTGGAAGATCGACAACGTGCGTTGCAGGAGCTTCTCATACTTGTTGAGCCACTTGATAATGCAAATGGTAAGTGTAAGTCTTACTATTTTTTCATAAATTTCTTCTGGAGTATGAGCCAATAGAATTTAATTTGAGTTTATTGCTTTGTCATAAACAAGTTGAAAAAGCTTAGAGATTTTGTCTCGTTTATTTCTTAATGTTACCAGTGCAGCCAATATTAACAGCAGAATGCAAAATTGAGCTCTAGGAGAGGATTGTAGCGGATTAATAGAGTTACAGATATCAATATGTGTGCATAGATGCTTGGGCAGTTGTGTCCATAGTTTGATTTTGAATAAGACTGACCTGAGCAGATATCTACTTCCTCCTCCCTAATGTTTTGGACCCAGTGGAGGCTCTGCCATGTTAGCCATGGGTGCATAGATGGTTCATCTCTTTAGTGAGTTCATTACAATCTAACTTTTGCATCTTTAAATGACTTCAACTCTGTGAGTTACAAGTTCCTTGAGCTGTGCGAAGTGGTGGCGCATATAAATTTCTTTTTTTCCCCATGTCTTACTGTTAAGAGTTCGTGTTATTTTCACAAAGATGTAGTGGTCTTGTCTTGTCTTCTTCTTCTTCTAGTCTCTCGATCCCCTGCTGGCTTTAGACCAATACTCTAGAACAATCTAGTAAGCATATTTGTTGAACCTCCTTTGCCCCCCTAACAATTATTGGATTTGCCTGGAGATGTTTTGCATTACTTAAATGCACACGACTGTAATAATTATGAACCCTATACTTGTTTTGTTTGTGAGAGAGTCTAGATGAGCTTTTAACTGCATTATCGGTGGCTAATATTGTTACTTTGTTATGTGTCAGATTTGAACAAACTTGGCGGTTTTGCCGTTGTAATCCAAGAACTTAATCACCCTGATCAAGACATAAGGAGACTCTCTGCATGGGTTCTCGGAAAAGCTTGTCAAAATAATGCAGTTGTTCAAAAACAGGTCTGTTATTTTTCTGCTGTGAACTTGTCGGATGCATGTTTTACCATCAATTGTATAGTTTTTAAAGTTCTTCCTTCATGTTTTATTTTCTTCGTCAATAATGTTCGCTTCTTCTGTGGTGGATTGCTCTCTTCTTTTTAGCTGAGATGCTTAACAATGAGTCAATAACTAATTCTGACAAATCATGTCTTTCAGATTTTGGAACTTGGGGCACTGACTAAGCTAATAAAGATGGTAAAATCTACTTCTGTAGAAGAAGTCATTAAAGCACTATATGCTGTTTCGGCATTGATCCGGAACAATGTAGTTGGTCAGGAATTGTTTTATGAAGAAGCTGGGGATACAATGCTTCAGGTATATAGGAATCAGTTAAAGTTTGACGTGTTCTATGTAATGCTGATAATTGCACCAAATTTGATCCATTTCATTTCATGCTGACCCTTGGAAAGTTGGAATTGATCACTCCTTTCTCCCTTACTTCTCAGGAAATACTGAGCAACTCAAGCAATGATATCAGACTCCGCAAGAAAGCCGTTTCTATAGTTGCTGATCTAGCTGAATGTCAATTAGTTGAGTCGCCATTCTTCAGAGATCGCTTCTTCCTGAAGTCTGTAGTTGATCTAACAAAATCAACAGATCTCGATCTCCAGGAAAAGGTAGTTCTTTAGGATCTGTATTGTTGTTGCGATGAATTGTTGTTTTCCTAATTCTGGGCATGCTTAAATTTGGAGAATTCATTTATAAGTCAGTATATGCCATTAAAGAAGAATCTGGAAAGGTAGCATATCCATAAATGAATCTGTCTTGGGCACACACAACTTAGAGGTTGTTTGGCGAGAGGTCATGGTTCAAGTCTTTATTGGTAGATGATTGGGGGGCCTGCATGAAGGAAAAGATTGTTACAAGCTGATTGCCTCCTCTCATCCTTTTTGCTTATTGCTAACATAAACAAATATCGGATATGGGTATCTATATTTGTATGGACTATTAGTGTATTTGATGCAGGCAATGCCTTGTTTAAACCTGTGCTTGTGATTACTGCAGGCCGTTGTTGCAATCAAGAATCTGCTGCAACTCAAAACAAATGAGGCTTTGATTTTTAAGGATTTCTGTGACTTGGATGGTTCTTTAGAGAAGATGAGGCAGCAGCTGATATATTTGATGGCAGAGGAAGATCATAGGGACTATGCAGTGGATTTGGAAACCCTCCGAAGAGAAGTGGAGCTGATTTTCCATGAAAAGCTAGGACAGGTGGAAAATACAGCTTCCTTGGTTTCTGGCTAAGAATTCCATGCAATCTTATTTGACTAGAAGAAATTAACTGGAATTTTGTGACAGGTGATGAAGGTTCCAACATGACGAGACATTAGTGAGCCTATGCAAAGTTTGTGATGACAATTATGGTGCTTACATCAGTCAACCTGCTGTGGGATTCTTTCCTACAGGAATAGAGCGGCCAGTTCTGCCGGAGTCAAAGGTTCTAGCTTGCTTTGTCAACTTTTTTCCACACAAGAATTACGTTGACCTTTGAAATTAGTTGGTGTTAGGATAGATAGAAAAAAAGGAAAGAAAGCTCATCAAAAGTAGAACTTATTGCAGTAGTGTTCTTTTTAGTTTGATATAGCAGTGGAATTAGGCATACGGTTCAATTTGATAGGAACCTGATGTCTTTGCCGCTTTAACATGTAGTGCTGTGGTGCAGTTTTACTTTCCTCTTCATGTATTAATTTGCGTGCAATAGGTTCGTTTGTGTAAAACGAGCTTATCCGGTGTAGATGCTTAATCATTACTGGTGTGTGAGGCAAATCTTGCCGATATATTCGTTATGCCTATCCTAAATTAATTTTCTTTCGTTAATTAACTTTCTTCTCTCTCGTGAATCAAACTTCCAAGGTGGTGTAGAAAATAGAAATCCAAAACAACATAAGGAATGGAAAATGGACAACATTATCAATAATATTAAAATAAAACCATTGTTTACTATTCGTTCACTATTTAAAATACTATTCATACTCATAAATTACTCTTTATATTTATAAATCACTATTTCTTTTATCATTCATAGCATTTTTGTAACATTTTGGTTCTCAATTTTTTTTTTAATTTCAAATTTTAATTATATTGTGATTTGATCTCATTTTATTTTAATATTTTTTATTAATTATTTTTATTATTTAAGATTTATTATTTTAATTTATCAAAATTTTTAAAAATTCTCATCTAATTAATTTAAAATTTTATGGTCCTCTCTCTCTCTATCTCTCTCTCTCTCTCTCTCTCTCTCTCTCTCTATATATATATATATATATATATATTTTTTTTTTTTTTCGAATTTCAAACTTTAATTATATTGTGATTTGATCCTATTTTGTTTTAGTGTTTTTTGTTAATTATTTTTTATTATTTAAATTTACTACTTTAATTTGTCTTTTTTTTTTAAATTCTCATCCAATTGATTTAAAATTATATTTATTGACGATTTTGATTTATTTTTCTATATGTATGGGTTTTGGAATAAATTTTTAAAACATGATTATTTTTTCTTTTCAAAAATAGATTTAGATAATTTTTAAATTATAGTGGCATGATTAATATATATAATTTGTCTTAAATACATTTTTAGATTAAAAGTCTATTTCAAATAAGTTTTTCTTGATTTTTTTAGAAAAAACTCAAATTAGTTAATTACTAGCTGAAAGTCAAATATGAAAAATAAAAAGAAGTGGTTGCCCCGCACGTGAGGCTTGTATTCAAAGACTAGTCATGCATAGCATAGAAATAAAAAATTATTTAAGAAGGAAGAAAAAAAAGAATTCATATGTTTTATTAATTTATTTCTTCTTTATATAATCAAAATTAATCAAAATCAAATTTTTAATAATTTTTATTTCAAATTTGGTCAATAGATTCCTTGTAAGTTTTTTAATATTATTTTTTGTTTTAGATCGAAAACTCGAACTCACTTGATATAAAATATTGAATCGTTGTTTTTTTTTTCTTTTAGAAATTAACTATGCAACTACTACACTAAGCATTTACTATTTATTTATTTTTTTTGAATATTTTTAAATAGACTTATTTTAAATTAATTAATTAAAATTATGTTTTGTCTTAACAACTCAATGATTCAAATTAATATAGTTTTTATTTTTATTTTAGTATTATTCATTCTTTTGTAAATAAAAATATAAAAATTAAATTCACATTTTTTCAAAAATCAATATTCTCATCAACATTAAATAAAAATAAAAAAATTACTTATTTAATTATGTGTAAGCTTTTAATAATTGTTATTTTTGTTTTTCGACACAATCTTATGAAATACTAAATTTTTTTTTTAATTTTTTTTAGTTAATAACCCATGGAGTAACAAGGATAAATCCTTTTTCTAAAGAAAAAATTATAAAAAACACAAATAAGAAATAGTTAAATACAATTTTTTTTTTTTAACTTTTGATTTCATATATTTTTATAGATTCACACCATAAAATAGACTATCAAACTGAAATGATTTTTCTAAATGATTTTATATATTTTATCTAATCCGCAATGTAGCGTGAGCAAAATAACTTAGTGTTAAACTAGAGTTTTTTTTTTCAAAACAAGTTATTTTTAAATCTTATTTATAAAAAAATATTGTTTTAATCTTATTTGCCAAAACAAAGTAGTTTTTGTCATGTATATCAAATTACTTACACGTGTTAGTTTTTTTAATGTGAAATTCACTAATAATTTTACAAAATTTTAGAAACAAATATTATTTATAATATATTCATTTTATTAGTTATGATTATTAGATAAAATCAAATACTAGTAGATCCAATCCCACCAACTAATCAACAAGATCTAAAAATAATTGCTCTAATAAAGCTAAAATAAGTAAACGTTCAAGAACCAGCAACTCCATCATAATAAAACTAAAAGAAAATGAAAAACCATTGTAGCAATTCACCGTTTATTAACTGTTCACTTTTTTTTTTTTTTTTTCAGTTGCTTGGATCCTAAGCTTTTAAGAAAATTACTTTTTGTTTTGGTCCCTTTTTTCTAATCTTTTTTTTTTGTCATTAAAATTTTATTATATATTTTTTATCCCGATAATAAATATTTTTTTCTTGGTTTTGAGTAAAAATTTATGTTCTTTTTTTGGTCCTATTTTGTGATATGTTTTTATTTTGATCATTAAGATTTATCATATTTGATTTTTATCCTTATTATACTGAAACTAAATAAAGTTTACTATCCTAAGCTTTTTTTATTTTTTTGGCTTTTAGTGAAAATTTTCTTTCTATTATAATTCATGTTTTGTGATTTTTTTTCTTTGTTTTTGTCATTAAATTTAGTAGATTTTTTTTTTTTTTTGTTCTAGTCTCTATTTTGTAATTGTTTTTTATTTTGATCATTAAATTTTTATTATATTTGATTTTTTTCCTTGCAAGAAATTATTTTTTATATTTAGTAAAACTTTTTGTTATATTTTAGCTTTTGTTTTGTGATCTTTTATTTATTTTGATCATTAAATTTTTTATTAAATTTGATTATTATTCATTCCGCATTAAAATTAAATACAATTTCACTATTTTAAGTTTTTTTTTGGTTTTTAGTAAAAAAAATTTTCTGTTTTGATTCTTATTTTATTATTATTTTTTATTTTGGTCATTAAAATTCTATAATGTTTTATTTTTGTTCTTGCCTTATGCATGATGAATTGTTTTTTAGTCTTATTGTTTATAATTTTTTTTTTTGGCTTTTAGTGAATGTTTTATTTATTTATTTTGATCTTAATTTTTTTTTTATCATTTAAGTTTTATCATGTGTAATTTTATTTTTATTTTCTTTGCCAAATTCTCGATTTGACAAAGGTTTTTTGTCTTTTTGTTTTGGGTGATTTTTTTGTCTCATTAACAAATTACAGATGAATAATATATGATAAAAATTAATCATTTAAAATTTTAAAAATTATCACATTATTATTTTAATTATATGTTATTATACATATTTTAATTATATCAAACGATATCTAATTAGCTATTAGTATTCAACTTTACAGATTTTTTGTTTAGCTGATCTTGCTGCAAATTATGAAATACATGTTTTAGTTTTTTTTTTTAATTTTTTTGAGTGATATTTTTAAATAATTATTTTTAAATTTTAAATTTTATATGAATGAATATATAAAAGTGTTGTATAGCTTATCCTATGACATCATGCGGAATGTATTCTAGTCTCTTTCTATAAAAAATGAAATGGCTAAATTCCAAGAGCATTAAAAAAAAAATAGGGCTGAGGTCAACAAACCCACGCCAAAATCCAAAAATAGGCAAAAACCAAAACAAAATTATTGTTTGCCAAAGTATGACTTTCTTTAATGAGGGTTAAGAAGTACTGGGAATCACAAGACCACACAACTTAGTACGACGTCTGGTAACAGTGGCTGCCATGTCGTTGGCTCGTCAGCATTGATAATAACATTTGTAGGGCATATGGGATGCGTCACGCACTCGAACAAAATTGCTACTGGACTGGATGGCCCCACTGATCAATAAGCGTATTATTATTTACTGGTTTTGGATTTTAGGTTTTTTAACCAAGCTCCGTTTATTTGATTGTTGAGCCATTTTATTTTTTACAGACAGAGATTGCTATAAAGTTATTGATTCTTAAAGGTTTATTTATTTTGATTTTATTAAAATAATTATTTTTACATCTTGTTGATTACTTGATGGGATTAGATTTATTAATATTTAATTTTATTTGATAATTATAATTAATAAAATAAGTGTATTACGAATGATATTTGTTTTTTTAATTTTATAAGATTATTAATGAATTTAGTATTTAAAAAAATGATACGTATAAGTGATTTGATTCACATGATAAAAACTATTTTATTTTAATAAATAAGATTAAAATAACATTCTGTTTATAAATAAAATTTAGAAGTATCCTATTTTAGGAAAAAAATCATTAAACTAAGCCATCAATGTTTGCTATATTGCGGGTAGAGTATGCCATGGTGAGGCAGCGAGCGTCCTTTTCTTGAATTTTGGCCCACTGTTGGTTAGGGCAAGCCGTGACGTTACTTTTTTTCCCACTTATTGATGAAGATAATTAAAGGAAAAAGACAATCAGCACAAGAAAATTCGACAAATGATGAATAGGAAGCAAAAACAGTGAGCATGGAACATAGGAACTAATAAGTGATGAGCCTGATACCTTTCGAACATTTTGAAATTAAGTTCATCTCATTTAGCCTAACCAAGGCGCATCATCCATATTTCAAGGTCAGCAAAAAAACAAAAAAAAGAGAAAAGCGACTACCTGAGCTAATTGCGCCGTTGGTGTCAAATCGGCAATCTTGAATAAAGTGCGAATGAGATGGTACAATTTCCAGACCAAAAATTGAAATTCCCACCCACCACCAAGTGTTTAGTAGTTGAAAAGGAAGTAAGCATCTGCCTACCACATACTCATTTTTTTGCAGCCCAACCAGCCAGCAAACCAACAACGACCTACCAAAAGAACAAACGCGAAATTACACCAATATCCTCAACTCCGTTAAGACAACAACCTCACACAGATCTTGTAGTAATAACAACCTACCAAAGTCGTAAATTTGACTAGGTGAAAAATCAAGATTAACGCTGAACACGTACCGGTAGTTGGTGGCAAGTAGTTCCCAACTTTCCATATGAACATGATCTCCATCCAGCTCTCAAAATAAATTTCGTAGCTCACAATCAACAAAAGTAAACCAAAACATGTCAGTACACAACCACTCTGCCGTCTTCCTTACAAAACCACCCTCACAGGCGCCGCTTTTTCCTCCATCATGTCGATTAAACATGATTAATAGTCGTAATAATTACTTTAGAACGAGTAATTGTAAACTGATCGTGCATGCGTTAGCTGGCAGCAATGGTGGAAGCTGTGCTGGCGGAGGAGGAGATGGTGGAGTAAAGAAGAAAGGAGTGCCGAATTCGAATTATGTGGTGCCGCTTGATAAATCGTTGGCTTCTGCTTATACTTCTTGTATTACTAGGCCTCTTTCGGAGATCTTGCGTGATCTCAATAAGAGGATTCCTGACAATATCATTAAGCCTCCCAATTCTTCTTCTACCTTGATCCCTTGGTATGTATGTATGTATTATTATTAATTATGATTTTTGTTTTTGATGGAATATTAATTCAATTGTTGAATCTGTAATTGGTGATCTTGATGAATGCTGGTGATTTATTTTTGTTCATTGATTTTTTAGGTACCACGCGAACCGCATGCTCAGCTTCTATGCTCCTGGTTTGTCTTTTCCTCTTTACTATTATTTTTTTAAATATTTAGTGATTGAATTTTAGTTACAATGCCATTATTATCTACATTGATCCGTTTCTATGATGTTATCACACTTATAAACTAGTTTGTAATTTGGCAATCAAATTGGCAGCTGCTGCGCTTGTTTTTGCGTAGATCAAATGCCATTTCCAGCCTAATAACTATTATTTGTACTATTAGTTTCCAAATCATTTCCTATTAAAAGACACATTGATTCTTTGCTAAAGAAAAAAGAGCTGCCTTGATGCCAGCATTTCACTTTCTCAACACAGTTTGATAGCATATTAGGACCGTTAGGATCTATTAGTTGAAATACTTTGGACAATTGCTGCTAGAAGTTTATAATTGATTTGCTAGTGTCATGGATAGTAGAACTTGAAATGGGCAATTGGTCTTCTGTGAACAAATGGTCTATTAAAATCCTTTTTGGCAGGATGGTGTGGAGAAATACGTGATGTTATATTTGCAGAAAAAGGAAGTGTGACTGTGGTATACCGTGTCACCATACGAGGATCTGATGGAGAGGTGCAGCCCTTATTCTTTTGCACTGTCTTCTGTTTTGTAATATTGCTGTTCTTTCTGCGTGTTTCTGTTCATCCACTGATTCATTTATTTTAATTCATCTAAAGAAAGAGGCTATTCATACTGCGGCCAGTGCTGTAATTTAGTTAGAAATTCACTCATATAGAGCAGTACATACTAGGACTGCTAGTTATCTCTAGTTTATAGCATGAAAGTTCTTGGAACAATCTCTATATTTCATTGCTGTTTGGCATGTCGAGGTTCACTTGCCTGAATCAACACCATGTTTAGGCATTTCCGATGGTTGAACAAGGTTTTAAACTATTAATGTTAGCTAGACTTGCAAAAATTGATGGCTACATTTGCTATAAAAGTAAGAAAATAAAACCTTGGTCGAGGAAAAGCAAGCTTAATAGCAGCACGAATCTTGGTGAAGCCATCTGCAATTTTTCCTTTTTCTTGATCTTAATTCCAAGCTGCTGATGTTTTGTGGCCCTACTTCAAACAAGCCCTTATCCTTTTCATACAAGAACAATTTACTCCTAAAAGTTCAAAAACTTAGAATTTAATCGTTATATTCTTCATGCCTGGTTCCTGCATCTGCCTTTTCTCAATTGAACTGTTACATAGATGAAAGAGGAGTTGGAAGCCATGCATGCAGCTGAACTGCATGTGCCCTTACTTGAGTAATACATGAAAATCTTGAAGCTATAATGTCTATGATGAAAAATCTTAACTGAAAGAAAACTTGGACTTTTTAATAGCAAAAGAAACCTCCCAGAGAAACATATCCAACCACTGGTAGACAATGACATGCGCATACTTTTCACTTCTTGACGAATCTCTCCCTCTCTCTTTTGTTTCCTTCAGGATATAGAAAAACTTTTTATCCAGTTTGAATTGTTTCTTTTATTATATTCAAGTATATTTTAGGTAATTAGATTCAGTGGAGACCATCTAACCATAATGCACACCATATGCTCATTGAAGTAGGCAAATCTCAACCTCTAACTTAGGAGCTTATGTCCTGCTATTTGATGAGAAATACTGTGATGCAATTGTGATATTTACTTGAACCATTTTGTGGACGGTGGTATTATGCAAACACGGGATTACTCATTGGAGTCACATTTTTAGGAATTCCACTAAGAGCACTATATGTTGTTTCCCCCACCGAGTTAAAGAACTTCTATTATGTCTTTGGTAAGAATCTAAGGTGATGCCCAGTCATGCACCACTTTTCTAGAATCTACCAAGTGTTATCTAATTTTCTTTGAATTAACTTTGTGTAGCTCTTTTTTTCTTTTTGATTTGGCCAAAGCCAATGTTCTTGGTTGAGGAAATTCAAACCTGTATACTCATTGGGCCTTGACCTCGAATGTGTCACTAATTAACCATTATCTCATTGGCCAATGATCTGTATCTTGGATATGAATCTTTGATGTACCAAACATGAGAATCCTGCCTGAAGTCTCTTCGATGGGTAGAGTCATATGCACATAGCGATACAGAATGATGTATGGTAATGCAACATTATGAAATCAAGTTTAATTCTTGGAATAACCTTAGATACAAATACTGGAGAAATGTGTTCGTGATAGATTTGTCTGTTAATATCATTGTTTGCTAATTGAATGGCGAACCATGTACACTTAATCCTTCTAATGTCAATCTGTTCCAAGTTTGTAACCTTGCTTGGGGACTGCTTGCTCTAGCTATTGTTCGTAAGTGGTAGGATCTGTGAGTTCATCATTGCGGTTCAACATGGAAGTGACATTATGAAGAGATCAAAACAGAATTTCGTTGAAGAAATTAAGACCGCAATTCTTTCTGCATTTCTGAGTTGTCCCTGTATGCATGTTCTCAAAGATGTGTGTATTTTGTTGTGGGTCTGTTCTGATACTCATTAACATTACATGCTAACATAGTAGGCACTGATGTTGCACATTTCATTGTGGTTCTGCTCTGTAACTGACTAATATGCAAACTGCCACATGCTTTGTTAGGGTTGTGTCCTTAACTTACTGACATTATGCACTGATACAGGCTCATCGTGAATCATCCGGGACAGTATCATCCAGTGACGGTGACCTTGAAGACCCAGTTGCTGCAGCAGAGGAAATAGCTTTCGGCAGAGCATGTGCTCGGTTTGGCCTTGGATTGTACCTGTATCATGAAGAATAGATGCTATAGATGGCAAGGTGGTCCACCTTAATATATTGTCTAGTTTTTCTCTCTTTTGGGAGATCAGATTATGCCTAATGCCTGCCCTTACAAAGGATGTATATGTATACTATTCTCAGGTTTGGCTTGGATTTCTGTGGAACAGAGTGTCTTTTAGCTGCTCATAAGTTAGTAAAGCTTTTTCAACAAAATTATCGAAGCCTTTCTTATCTCTTAAAGAAAATTGGGAAAAAGGGGAGAATTGTTTTCAAACTTTGCATTTGTAAGTTTTCTGACACAATCTGCTGTGGGCGATTCTAGTATTTTCCATAGCAAATTAGCAAATCTGCCTCGAGAGTATCATTATGATTGGCTATTTGCTACCATAACCTCAAAGTGCTGTAAGTTGTTACTGAGGAAAATAAGAAGAACTAGCATACAGGGGTAACCATAGTTTTAAATATAGAACAAAGATCGCGGTCATCATCACGGATTGCGGTTTACTATAATATTAAAATAATGATAACGAGATGTTCTGAAATCGTTATATAACGTCCATTACATAACGTAATGAGAGTTATTTAAAACTATGAGGTAACTCGCTTCCACTTACCTTATAGCAGCCAAGGATGAGGCCATTTTTAATACATCACGAGGCTTGCATCAAGGCTGAATCCTATTTTTGGTAATTCATACCCATTCTTATGTGACCACAGCATCTTTTTAAGTACAGAGTTCCACTTGATTAAAAAAAGAAAAAGATTTGGTTCCACGAAGGTTCTAGGTCTTCTTCAAATTCTCAATTTCTATCCTACGTCTTTTACTTTGAACCCGAAACCAACTATTGGAAATTTAAAGTTTCAACACCAATCCATGGAACTCCGTAAAAATCTAAAAATTAGTTGAACTCGAAATATTTTTATAATATAATAAATATTACCGCGAGCCTTACGTCAATAGATCACATTTAACTCCGTAATAATTAGGGTGATTCGTTCATGACAATCCCGTTAACCAACTCATTATACATGCAACTCCTCCTAATCATTTAAAGAAATCCATTCCTCATTTTGTGTTCTTCTAGCTTCTTCAAATGCCAATTCTTGGTTCTCTTTGAATCAAATTCTAGGAATTAAAAGAAAGACCCCAAAAATTGAAGAATACTACCGATCTTTCATCGGTGGATATGTCGGCGATCTTTATAGAGTGATGGAGTAGCTTTGTATAGAGATGCTTGAATTGGAATAAGGAGAAGAAGGAGCTGCGATGGAGGTGATGAGCTGGAGGAAAATCGATTAGTGAAGTTGAGTTGGAAGCGTTGACAAAGATGACGACTAAGCAAGGAAATAACCGTTGGACGCCTACTAGCCATTAGCAAATATTTGAGCTAACCAGTTATTTGTTGGAGTTAGTTAGCGATCGGTTAAGAAGGTGAAGGAATAAGAGGAATTCGAGAATAAGGGAATCAATTAAGCAAAAAATTGGATTCTCTCTCCTCTTTGTTTCTCGCTTCTTCTTTATTCTCTCTTCCTTTCTCGTATTTCGATTCTTGTTTTTCATTTCTCCGAAACAACATTTGTAAACTTACATATACATTGCATTGATTTCATTTGGAAACTACTTGTTAAACTTCTAGTTTTTTAATTGATTTTAATAAAGATTTCAATTCGTGTGTTGTTCTTGTAATTCTCTAGTTGTTTTCCATTGATTTGTATTGTGAGTTGTATCAATTGATATCGAGCCCGGTTCCTTGCTCTCGTGTTGATTAAAAAAAAACCTATCGATCATGGCGAGACAGGATCGGAGCTGAAGAAGATGGAAAAATCAATCAACACTCTCACTAAGGTAATCACCGAACCTTACCTTATGTTGTGACTTTGTATTCGGTAAGCATGACCAAGAGATAGATGAATTGGAGGAGATGATTAACGGAATAAAAACTCTAAAGAATGAACAAGCATCCGTTGGAGTGATCGATAATGTGAATGAGGTTCTTGGTGAAGTAAATAATAGAGGTCATCGGAGATCTAGTTATGGATATTTAAGTAGCTATCTTCGGTATGATGAATAATAATGTTGAAAGAGTTAATGGAGATTCTAGTTATAGCTACAATACTAGGATGTCGAGGGTGGAATTTCTTAGATTTTCTAGTGAGGATTTTGAGGGATGGATATTCAAGTGCGAGAAATTCTTCATGGTTGATTGAACACCGGAAGAGGCTAAAGTGCACTTGGGTCGTTATTCACTTAAAGGATGAAGCTCTAGAGTGGCACCGTGTATTTGTAAGAATGCGGGGTGTTAAATATGTGATCAAGTGGGAAGATTATATAGAATCAATGAGTATTCGTTTTGAAAATATGATTTTTAATGATCCTATGACGGAATTGATGAACCTTAGGTAGACATATAATGTCCAATCCCTCATTCGACAGCTTAATATCTTTTATTAACAGATTAAACTTCCCGAAGACTACATCATCAAGCAACTTCATTGGAGGGTTACGTTTTGAATTACGAGTACCGGTGAAGATTATGAGACCTAAAACCTTAAAAGAATCCGTTGCTTTAGCCAAGCTTTAAGAGATAAACCCTAATCCGTAATAAAATTCACCTAAACTCAACACCAAATTGCAAAACACTTATCAATCGAAATCATACTTGAACCCTACAACTAGCAACCAAAGACCTCATAACAATAACTACCGACCTCTTAATGTTACAAACCAAAATACACAGATGAACCAATACAATCGTAACCCTCACAACCAAAAAGGCTTACTACCTTTACCTCCATAATTCCAAAATGGTAACTCAATGTTCAAAACAAAAAAACTCCCTAGTAACAATGAGCTAAATGAGAGAAGGCTAAAGGGATTATGTTACTTTTGTGATGAAAAATACATACCGGCCACAAATGAAAAGGATGACGGTATTTATTTTAGAAATGAAAGATTGCACGATCAAAGATGAGGAAGTTGACGGATTATGACTAGGGGATGAGTATGGAGAGAGATACAGAGAGAAGACTCGACAATAGAGCTTTATCAAATTTCAAATTATGTTGTATTAGGTGGGGAACATTACCAAACAATAAAGATTATAGGGGAATTGAAGAATAAAAGGATGAGTATTCTCGTAGATACGAGAAGTACTCATAATTTTTTGGATTTGGAGTTTGCTAAAACGAGTAAGTGTGTTTTGGAAATGATTGAACCGATAACTATTAGAGTGGCGGATGGAGGAAACATTGTGTGTTAGTATAAATACACTCGGTTTAAAGTGGAAGATGTAAGGGGAAGTATTTGAAACTACTCGCTTATGTGATGCAATTGGGAATGCATGACATGATATTGGGAGTAGCATGATCGTATGCTATGGGTGATATAACATGAAATTTTAAAGAAATGTGGATGAAATTCTTAAGGGGTGACGGATGGTTCTCTTTGAAGGGAAGGTGCATTGGGTTGAGCGGGAATGAATCGAATAAAGGAATAGATCGGGATATTTGTAAACAACATCGGTTAAGTTGGTTACGACTTAGTCAAACGATGGACATGAAATGCCTAGAGTCGATCGAAGGGAAAGCAAAATTGGAACAAATAGTTCCAGTGGAATTATTAACGAGTGTTAAATCAATTTGTAGATGTTTTTGAGGAGCCAAAAGGATTACCACCTCAACGAATTCATGATCACATAATTCAATTGAAGGAAGGAGCAAAACTCGTCGATTGAAACCTTATAGGTATCACTCGAGTACAAAAAGATGAGATTGAGAAACAAGTTCAGGAGATGTTAGACAGCAGGACTATACAACCCGAGCGTTAGTCCATTTCCTTCTCCAGTAGTATTGGTGAAGAAGAAAGACAATACATGGAGGATGTGTGTGGATTATAGGAAGCTCAACCAGATGACTATCAAGGATCAATTCCCTATACCTATCATTGAAGAGCTCCCGGATGAATTACAAGGCTTCACTATATTTTCAAAACTTGATTTAAGGGCGGGATATCATCAAATTAGAATGTTTTTTTTTATATTTCAAAAACTCGCCTTTCGTACACATAATGGTCACTATGAGTATTTGGTTATACCTTTTAGTTTAACCAATACCCCTAGTATCTTCTAATCTCCGATGAATGACATTTTTAGACCTTTCCTTCGTAAATTCATACCGGTATTTTTTGATGATATCCTCGTTTTTAGCAAAACTTTGCATGAGCATGTTCAACATTTATAAACCACTTTGAATGTGTTGAGAGAGAATTCATTATTTGCTAAACACTCTAAATGTATATTTGGCGCTCCAAAGATAGAATATTTAGGGCATTTCATATCTACAACATGTGTTCGGACGGATCCTAAGAAGATCGAGATGGTGCGAGTAGTGGCTTACTCCATAAACGCTTAAGCAACTAAAAGGGTTCTCGGGCCTTATAGGGTATTACGGGCGATTTGTGAAAGGATATGGTAGAATAGGTCATCTTTTAACCGATCCGCTCAAGAAAGATGGCTTTGAATAGAATGTTACTACAAACAAAGCTTTCCCGGAATTAAAAGAGGTAATGGTAAACACTCTAGTCCTTGTCTTACCTTAATTGGACGAGGACTTTGTGATTGAGATAGATGCATCGGGAGGAGGTATTGGAGCCGTGCTAATGCAACAATGCCATCCAATTGCCTATATCGGTAAGATATTATCTCCTAAACACCAAGCCTTATCCATATATGAAAAGGAGCTCCTAGCCATTTAGTTTGCTATCAAGAAATGACATCAATATTTAAGTTATAGATACTTCATCATCAAGATAGATCATTAGAGCTTAAAATAATTGCTAGAACAGCGAGTTACACACCGCAAGTCGGTTTACATGGTTAGCCAAGTTGATGGGGTATGACTATGACACCGTTTATAGAAAAACGAAAGGAAAATATGGCTACCGATGCTCTTTCTAGGATGCAATTGACTACTCTTGTTGTCTATTCCATTTCCATCGAAGTGTTGGATAGAATTCGTGGCTCTTGGAGTTCGGATTCAAGACTTGCCAATATTATGACACAATTACAAAGCACGGGAGGCACACACAAAAGTACAATTGGCGGGATCAACAACTACGGAGGAATGACAGATTGATGGTGGGCAATGATAGGGCATTACACAAGGATTTGATTTCCGATTTCCATGATTCAGCCATGAGAAGTCATTTTGGTTTACATGTTATGACAAAGAGGGTTATAGCCTTGTTTTATTGGAAAGGCTTACGTAAAAAGGTACGCGAATATGTTCGTAATTGTCACGTTTGTCAAACTCGCGAGTATGACAATGTAGCCGATCTAGGTCTTTTGCAACCCCCGCCTCTACCTTATGCCGTGTTCACGGATATTACCATGGATTTCATCGAAAGTTTACCAAATTCCCAAGGTAAATCGGTTATTTTTGTTTCAAGTGGACGAGCTTACCAAATATGGTCATTTCATGTCCTTAGCTCACCCATACTCGACTAAGACAGAAGCAGAGGCGTTTATGACCAATGTGTCTAAACTGCATGGGTTGCCTTAGAATATTGTTTCGGATAGAGATGTTGTCTTCCCGAGTAAGTTTTGGAGGAAATTATTTGAGTATCAAGGGGTTTCATTGCATTTATCGATAACTTATCATCCATAAACGGATGGACAATCCAAACAGATGGACAATCAAAGGTGGTTAATCGCTGCTTACAATCTTACCTAAGATGCATGATCGGTGCATGGCATAAGTGGTTATGCTTAGCCGAGTTTTGGTACAATACCTCATTCCATTCTTCCATTTAACAAACTCCTTTTAAAGCTCTTTACGAGTTACCCTCCCCTATTAATTTACCATATCTACCTAATGACCGTAAGAAAGCCGAGGTTGATGAAGTTTTACGAGAAAATGAGCATGTTATTGCAATGCTCAAATATCATCTCACAAAGGCTCAACATAGAATGAAGGCACAAGTTGACAAGCATCGTAGTGATAGAGAGTTTAACATTGGTGATATGGTTTATCCGAAATTGTGGCCTTATCGACAACAATCTATCATTTCAAGGAAGAATCAAAAGCTTGCCCCTCGATTCTTTGGCCCTTTTAAAGTGATCGACCGAGTGGGAAGTGTTGCGTATACTCTTCAATTACCCCCTAATTTACAAATACATCCTACTTTCCACGTTTCCTATCTTCAACTCGTTCGAGGTCTAGTGTAAGTGCATGCTAAATTGCTTCGTCCTTGACTATCTCTCCTTTTCCAAGTGGCCATCTTGGATAGGAAGATGGTGAAGAGGGGTAATCAAGTCGCTACTAAGCTATTAATTCAATGGTCTAATGGTACCGTTCGTCGAAGCTACTTGGGAGTTTGCTTTTGATCTAGAGAAGCGTTTCCCTCGATTTAACCTTGAGGACAAGGCTTCTCGGGGGTATTGATGTAATAGCTTTGTATGGAGATGCTAAGCTGGAATAAGGAGAAGAAGGAGCTGCGATGAAGGTGATGAGCTAGAGGAAAATCAGTTAGTGAAGCTGAGTTGGAAGAGCCGACAAGGATGATAGCTCGGCAAAGAAATAACTGTTGGACAGCTACTAGCCGTTAGCAAATATTTGAGCTAACCAGTTGTTTGTTGGAGTTAGTTAGCAGTCAGTTAGGAAGGTGAAGGAATAAGAGGAATTCTGAGAATGATGGAATTAGTTAAACAGAAAATTGGATTCTCTCTCCTCTTTGTTTCTCGCTTCTTCTCTGTTCTCTCTCTTCGTCTCTGTATTTCTGATCCTTGTTTTTTATTTCTCTGAAACAGTATTTGTAAACTTACATATACATTGCATTGATTTCATTTGAAAACTACTTGTTAAACTTCTGGTTTTTCAATTGATTTTAATAAAGATTTCAATTCGTGTGTTAGTTTTCCATTGATTTGTACTGTGAGTTGTATCATAGAGCACGTAGTTTACGAAGATCAGCAGGCTCTTCTTTATGGACAGACAATACTGCACAAGCTTTTACAAAATATTCATGAGAAGAAGAAGGTGTAGAGGCTCTAAAATGGGTTGCAGTCCAGAGACTACCTACCTTCAATCTTTGACAACTGATAGAGATAGAGAAACCTAGGATACTAGAGACTTCTGCATATGGAAGTAAAGACCTAATCTGGCATACTTGTAGCTTTAACTTATGAACTTGTACAAAATCATATCTCCTGCAATCTTACATTAGGTCCCAAAAATATCAGTACATACTACTTGTATACATACAGTACGGATGCTAAACATATACTGCAGAGTATTTAGCGGAAGTTCCATTATTCTGACAGATTTTATTGATGAGCTTGACATTTAACGTTAGTGAAATATAATTCAGCCACAGATAACATCAAGGAAAGATCAACAGCAGTATTGGATGCATAAAGATGAGCCTTACAGTTTTGTCACAGTTAAAGAATTTGCTCAAGCACCAGAGTCAGTTCATGTGGGACAGAGAATTAGAGATGAGCTTTCAACTCCATTTGAAAAGGCCAAGAACCATCCAGCTGCTTTGAGAACTAGAAGATATATGGCATTGGAAATATGGAGCTTCTTAAAGTTTGCTTCTCCAGAGAGCTGTTGCTCATGAAGACGAACTCTTTTGTCTTCATCTTCAAGCTCGCCCAATCAAATGCTGAGTGTTGACACTACTTTTGTTTTTTTTTTAAAAAAAAGCTAATTTGATGTTGTCACTAGGTTTCTGCGCTCTACTACATTTAGTGACATGGGACCATTCTTTGATCTTATTCCTCGAAAATGAGATAATACATGCGCTATAAATCCAATCCAAGAATTCTGTTCAGCATTTAATTCATGGATATAAGATATCATTTCTTACAATATTATGCCCAAAATTTGATATTGAGCTCAAATTTGTTAACACAAGTGATCAACCCGATATCTTCCTAAAACCCTCGGTGGAGAAAAGATTTACTACCATTCCACAAGAATTAAAAATACTAAGATACTAGCACACAAGATGCAGGGCTCTCCCTCTTCCACTGTTCTATGAAAATAGAAGGAGCATTTAGTTTATGGAGCTCCCAGCAGATCTATAATCCATCCAACCAACCAACCCAAGGATAGACCAACAATTAAGTCATGAAGCAGTGTTTCTTATATGATCCTTTAGGTGCAGCATAACAGATTCATGTCAAATGATACTGAAGAACAAAGGAAAAGCAAGTAAAAGAACACACCTTTACATTTCTTTTGTCCCTTTAGGAAATCAAATTTTCCTCCGTAAACAATACTATACACTTATATGACCTCAAATACACGACTTTCTTTTATCTAAATGATTTGTAGAGACTTGCATGTTTCTCATACAACCTAAATATCAAAAAAAAAAAAAAAAAAGGAAAAGAAAAGAGAACATTTCTACTGATTCCTAATTATTTACTTCCATGATTGCACATGCCTGGCGACATATCAAATGTACAATAGAATACCATAAGAAGGCCCTATCTATGCAGATTCTTCTAGCATCTTCCCTATTGTTGGCTATGATTGATTTGCTTGGTGTAAATATCATTGCCTCAAGAGTTTCGGGCCTGAATTTGAAGCCATCCAGGATATTATAACATTCACAAGGTGGTCTACATCCTTTGATGCTTGTGCACGGAGAATCCTTGAGTCTCCGCCTAGTGTGTTGCCTACTTCTTTGGCAACTGTCTCCCACGGGGTTCCAACAGTGAGATTTGCAAAAATCTCACTTCCTCGGTTTACTGCATCTGCCATCGCAGGTGGGACATCTGGGAATGCCTGATTGAAAGAGACATCACATAAGCTGGTTGCCTTCGCAAAATTGCATTAATTGGATATAGAGGCATGAACACTATGTATCTTAAATTTTAGTACAAAGTTACCTGTTGCAATGGAAGCCCATGATCTCCTGGCAACAAGCGAATTGACATGTCTAGCATTGAACTAATGGCTGCTTCTGAACTAAGCACCTTAGCTAATATTGAAGTTTCATCAATCGCATCGTCCTTGAACTTTATCAGAAGATTTCTAGAAATGCCATAATATGATTTGATCTGAAGGGAAAAAAAAAAAAGCATCAATAGTGATAGCTGCATGACAAAGCAGGAAGTATCCATAAGATAAATCGAAAATTGCTCAAGGAAGTTGCTGTTTTTTACACTATTAAGGATTGTGTAATATGCAACCATACCTTACAAGTTCAGCACCAAAAATAGCACAAGAAGGATTGTGAAGAAGCCACCCTATAATAGGATAATCTATTACCTAAATACCTAACCCTAGGCATGGCACTAAAATATACTTTGCTAAGTCAGACCACCAAAACATGAACGTACCATCCAGTAAAATGTCGGAATTTATAAATAGTCTACTTAACATAGCATTGTGACAATATAATTCAATTTTATTTATAACTAGAATGATGTAGCACGTTTGACAGTTACAGGTTTACATACAAGGCGGCGAGTTTCTTCAGGTTTGGGAATGAAATCTTCTCTACCATTAACTAAGTCCACGTATAAGGGAGGGAGTTGCTCAACCAAAGGAAGAACTTGCTTCATAATTGGAGGGCTAAGGTTCTCTAGTTGCTTCATTGTCATCTCTGCCTGCAAAAATTTTATGTGAAGAAGGGTTTAAGAGATAGAATCATTCATCAAGGGAAATAATGCTTAGCAACTGAAGTACGAGGATAAAAGTATAAATAAGCCAACAATCTAGATAAACATAACAAATTAATATTCATCTGGCAAATCAGCGGAGGTACAGTCAGATACCTCTCCGGGTGCATATTTACAATGTGATAGAAAGTGTAAGAAACAAGTTTGAAACATGTGGTAAAAGAATACATAAAATAGAAATTCATCAGAAACCATTCCGATACTCTTAATGCAATAGACGTATTAATATTGTAGAAGCTAACAAATCAAACAATTCTCATTGTTATCCTTATATCAAGCAAAACTCTGGCAAATCCATACCCACATTTGAGTCTTTTGACATACATCTAGATATCTGACAAACATGCAACTACTAGATGTATAGGTAGTAAGGGCAAGATATCTACATGAGTCAGGATCAAAATTCAATTAAAGTTCATTTACGGGCAGACAGCGAACCTGTCACAAGCTGTTGAACTAGAGGAGTAATCATTATCTGGCAAGAGAAGAGTCCTTGGGCAATTAAAGAAGTGAATCGTGATGTTTTAGAAGGATACCATTCCAAAATCTAATAATCCAATTGTTGACCAGAGCTCAAAGTCAAAGCATCTAAAAAAACATCCATATTTTGACAAACACAAAATTGACTGCTAAGAGGATGATGATGCATGGAATGACTAAGTGATAAAAGGAACTGCATAATTACGAGAAATCTAAAATTTGGAAGAGGATCAATATCAAGCAAACAACCATCCAAAGAGATGGATGGACATAATAAGGACAGGACCAATTCAGAGTGCCATATAAAGACACACAAGATTTCAATACAAATTATCCTAATGTGTGTTTAAATGCATTCTTCAACAGTTTGAAAATGCAAAAGTGTGCTTTAGAAAAGGCATTATTCAGATCCACTGCTCAGAAAACAGCTGATATATAATCTCACCCCAAGACGGACTGACGGTAATGATGCGATTTGTGATAGAAATGGTCCAAAGCTTTGGGCCATTGGGACAAGAACAGGTGAGAACAGAGGGATAGCTGAGCTTGCTTCCTGTGAAATCAACAAATGTTTTTTCGTTAATCTCAAACCATTTAGAAAAAGGTGACCGTTAACAATTTAGAATGATAGAAATGTTTGTTCAACATATGTACTAGCAAAAATAAAAATGTCCATTCCTATCACTTTGCTGCCAAAGAGAAAACAGACAGAGATGTCAATGAATTTGAGGTTAAGAAGGCAGAAAAGTGTAATGTTGAAACAAGCATACTCTAGCCCGTTAGGTTCTTTCAAAATGAACTCATTTGAGTAGGGAGGTGATACTTCTAGGGTGGAGTTTTTAAAGATTTATAAAGGTCATTCCATTTCTATTCTCACCTCATCTAGTCACATTCAATTGGTCAAGTACCTTGTTATTGAATGCCATTAGTATATTCCCGCTTCTTTGCACAGCATATCGTGATCCTGAAAAACAAAAGGTCAAATCAACATAATAAGCTGCTGTAAATCAAATCAGTTTCTTGCACCCTCGTAAATATAAACTATATAAAGAACTTCCATACCAATCAAAAGGTGGATGACACTTCCCAAAGAGTGGCCTACGCCAAAAACAGGAATATCTTGTACCTGTACAATGAAGATTTTTTTAGCCTAAACATATCCTTCTACCCCCTCAATGAAATCGACAAAACACAGGAAGCGGGAATATTATTCTGCAGATTGTAAATGAATAAGCAACTTACAGTTTCTTGTAGAAATCGAAAACACCTATCAAATTTGAACTGCACTTCATCAGCAATGAAGAAATAATCAAATCCACTAGCATATGGTGTTGCAATCACCAAAACACCACTATATCACGAAAAGAAAAAAAGTCAAACAAAAAAGCCATTAATTTTCCTCAGTCATCACAGAGTCAGTAAAGTTAGACTGCCAAGTAAACTAGCCTATGTTGACTATACAATTAAAGGTCAATGCTATCAGTATCAAAATGCTGCCACTCACTTTTCTGCCAGGCGTTCAAGAAATAAACGGTATGTAAGCTGGGGGGCTGCTCCAACGAATATACCACCAATGAAATGAGCAACTGACTTGGGTCTTGAGCTTTTTGGTTTCAGAACCCATGATCCCTGAGATGATATCAGAACTACATAATTAAGTAGAGAAATTTGGAATGAATATTAAAGTAATTTAACCAATGAGCTTTTCGCTCATTGCTAGGAGCCTTGGGTGCACAAGTAAAAAAAAAAAATTATATTAAAAAATATTAAAGTAATTAAATAAATTTGAGAATTAGACTGATTCTGGATTATGCAGGCTTCTGTCTTTACTTACACCAGGCAGCAACAACTAACAAGGATAAAAACACGGAGGAAAGCCCCCAGGTACTTGTAGGGTGCTAGAAGGGAGAGTCCAACTCAGGGGAGTTAAGAAACTAGAGGACCAATCCCTTAAGATTAATAGGTTTTCCAAGTAAGATCACAAGGCTTCTGATCTCAAAGTCTTCATAGGGGTTCCTATATGAAGAAATTTTAGACTCAATCCCCTCCAGAGTCTTAGTTTTGTGGTATTTTTAAAATTTTTGTCACAAATGGCAACTTCTGGTACTCTGAGAGAACATTGCAGACTCCTTTGGTTGGACCCAATCAGTCCCACATAGGCGAAAGTCCAAATTTTTTCTGTACTTAATTTAGGAAAACCTTCTCTTGCACCCTAATTCATTGGTTTAAAGGGGTAGTTAGTACTGGATTTTATAGGAGATAGATAAAGGTAAGTGTTTTATCATCAGAATGACTATCCTCTACTTTTAGGAGATACATCATCATCCAAGAAATAAAAACCCTTTGTAGGCTAGCCAAAGTGTCTAAAGTATTCAAATTATCTTGTTTCCCAAAACCACTTAGATAGAAGAAGATACATGAATAATTCACAACTCAATTCAATTCAATCAACTAATCTTTCTCACTGGATCAAGCGCTTTGACTTTGTCCCCCGGTATCCACCAAAGGTCGGGTTTGAGCCTGGAAAGGTCTTATTTTGGTATTGGCATCATATGGTTTATCTTTGAACTTCTTTGCATCAAAATTGACACGGGAGTAAGGAAAGCAAGAAAACAAGCATGGAAGAAACTTAATTAAAAGTGAAAGAAAAAACACCTCAACTTCAGACCAATCCTTAGAACCACCCCAAGAATCTTGTGATTGTCTTGCAGTCTCCGTAAGTAATCTACAAAAGCCAATTGAAAATAATAATAATAACAATAATAACAAAGTTGACCTTTTTCTTTCGTGGGCTATCAACAAAATTATCCATAAAGATGATGGGGTTAAACCTTTCAATCTGATTGTAAATCTGAATTGCCGAAGAAGAAGAAGAAGAAGAAGAAGATGGTGATGATTGTGGTGGTTTCTTTGTGGGGTCTTCATAAGTACAGTAAATTCTGCTGTTTCTGGAATTACATTTACGGGGACCATTTGCAGCTACCAAATGAACACGTTGATTGTGATGATGATTGGAGAAGCCGATGAAGCGATGGTGGGATTGAATCAGAAGCTGACGACCACCCCATATACAGCAACTCTCCATTTGAATCTAGTCAAAAATTCAAAGACAGGCTAAGCTCTCTTTCTATTAGTTATACGCTGCTGTATGACCATTGTTTGTTTCTGCTAAACTAAAGTTAAACTTACTGTAAGAATTATACAACTACTTCCCTCCTTGCTTTCAACTATACATCAAATCCAAGGATTGGAATCGTCTGTTTCGGAGCAAACGGACCGGCTAGAGGTGATTTTTTTAATATTTTTTTCCTTTTTTCGTCTGTTCTATTTCCAAACTCACCCTCGCAGTTTGGAGTATCTATCAATTGTCCCCTTTTTTTGGTCAAACCTCATTTAGAAATTTTCAATTAAAGACTTCCAATAAGAACGATGTTATTTTGTAGAAAACTTAATATCTTCCGCTAAGTGTTATAAAAAAAATCTTTAAGTAAAAAAATCAAAATAGTTTAATGGTGAAATTAATACCAAAAATAGTATGGGTACAAAATTGATACCGCCTTTCTGGATTGGTGGTATATTTGAGGTTTGCCCTTCTTCCGTTTCACCTTAAATACTCAACTAGAACTTTGACTATTTGTTTCATTTTCATCCCTCTAACCTCTAGCTATGTTAATTGTTAATTAGAAAACTAACTAGCATATATCCTGTGTGTTGTCACGAGATAAGTTATATAATATTTTTATGCATTCATTAATATAAAATTTAACATTTGTAAATCATTATTTGATAATATCATGCAAAAATAATTTAAAAAAATTAAAACATATATTTTATAATTTACTACAAGGTTGGCTAAATGAAAAATCTGCAAAGTTAAGTAATATAATGTTGCTAATTTGATATTATTTGAAATAAACATGTATTTTATTAATAGTTGATAATTAAATTAATAATGTGGTAGTTTTTTCAATTTTTGATGATTAATTTTTACCATATATTATTCATTTGTTATTTGTTAATGAGACAGAGAGACCACTCAAAACAAAAAGACAAAAAAAGTCTATCAAATCGAGAATTTGACAAAGAAAATAGAGATAAAAGTACATATGATAAAAATTAAATGATTAAAACAAAGTAAAGATTATAAAAAGGATAAAAATAAATAAAATAACTTTCACCGAAAACATACAAAAAATACTTATAAATAATAAGACTAAAAAAGTTTCATTATGTATAAGGCAGGAACAAAAGTAAACATTATAGAATTTTAATTACAAAAATAAAAAAATTAATAAAATAAGAATCAAAACAGAAAATTTTTTCACTAAAAAAAAATTAGCATAGTTAAAATGTAGTTAATTTTAATGTAAAATGAATAATAATTAAATATAATAAAATTTTAACGATCAAAATAAATGAAAGATCATAAAACAAAAACCAAAATATAATAAAAAGTGTTACTAAAAGTAAAAAATAGTTCCTTTTAAGAAAAAAATTTAATGATCAAAATAAAAAACAATTGCAAAAAAAATACAAAAGAAAAAATTCTACTAAATTTAATGACAAAAAAAAAGAGAAAAAATATCAAAACATAAATTAGAATAGAAAGAAACTTTCGATAAAAAAAATAAAACAACCTTAGTATAGTAAACTTTATTTAGTTTTAGTATAGTAAAGATAAAAATTAAATATGAGAAAATTTTAATAACTAAAATAAAAACATATTAAAAATAAAAAAAGAACATAATTTTTTACTAAAAGTTAAAAAAATTTTGATTATAAGGATAAAATCACATATAATAAAATTTTAATATTTCGATAAGGATAAAAATCAAAGATCGGAAAATTTTAATGACCAAAATAAAAAGTTGTTTCCTAAGCTAAAACGAAAGGAGACAAAAAAGAAAAGAAAAAAAAACCGAGCCGGGGCTAGGCTACGACTTAAAAAAAAAAAAATAGGTCAGTAACCTCGGCGAATTAAGGTCGTCGGGGATCAAGTTTCGGACCTCTAGAAATCGAATTCGACATCATTTTTTTTTCTCAAACACCTCTAAATGATCGAAATAAAGCCAATAAACATATCTAAAACCTTGAAAATCATTTTAATGCACACAAAACCAAAAAAAAAAATTACACAACCAAATCGGAACATTATTTCCTTTTTTGGCTCGATCTACCTTCTCTAATTGTTTCATGGCTTGAAATAACCATGAACAAACTCATCTCTCAAAAAAAAAAAAACTAGCAGATTTTCGCAGGCCAAAGTGGCCTAAATAAGCTTGGTCGACGATCTCTCTCTCTCCTCCTGTCTCTCTCTTCCCTCCTTCTTTCTCTTTCATCCAAGTAACCAAAATGGATGAGAAAATGAAGATGTAGATCGAAAAATGCGTTAGCAAACATCATGGACTAAAGTGTAAAAAAACCAATGAATAGTGAAATGTTAGTGTATGAATAGTATTTTGAACAAGTAATCTATCTATTTTAGTTTATTTAGTTAATACTATCCTACTAGTTTAGTGATATACTAACATGTATCTCACGCGTTGTCGCGGAATGAGTTATATAACATTCTTATGTGTTCATGCATATAAAATACGAAATTTAAAAATAATTATTTAAAAGAATCATGCGAAAAAAATTGAAAAAAAGCCAAAACATAAATCTCATATTTTGTTGTAGGCTTAGCTAAACAAAAAGTCTCGTAAAGTTGAGTAATATAATATAAAGTCAAGATCATAAAAGAATAATAAAAAAAATTAAAAAAAAAACTTATAAGCCATAAGACTAAAAAAAAAAATTCATTATGCATAAAGCATGAACAAAAGTAAAAAAATGACAGAATTTAATTTTACTAAAGTTGAAAATGTTTTTTACTAAAGCAAAAAATAAAAAATAAAAAATAAAAAAAATAAAAACTTAGAATAATGAAACTGTATTTAATTTTAGTGTAGAAAGAATAATAATCAAATATAATAAAACTTTAATGATCAAAATAAAAGAAAGATCATAAAATAAAAACCAAAATATAACAAAATTTTTTACTAAAAGTAAAAAAATAGTTCCTTATAGGGAAAAAAATCAAATATAATAAAAATTTAATGATCAAAATAAAAAAACAATTACAAAACAGAAATTATAATAGGAAAAAAAGTTTCACTAAAAGAAAAAAAAGATTAGTATAGTAAAACTTTATTTAGTTTTAGTATAGTAAGAATAAAAATCAAACATGATAAAACTTTAATAACTAAAATAAAAACATATCACAAAATTGGAACAAAAAAAGAACATAAATTCTTACTCAAAGCTAAGAAAAAAATATTTGTTATAGGAAAAAAATCAAATATAATAAAATTTTAATATTTATTATGGGGATAAAAATCAAATATAATAAAATTATAATGACAAAAATAAAAAAATTTACAAAACGGGAATTAAAATAAAATAAAATTACCAAAAGCCAAAAGAGGGAATGCAGCAAAAAAAAAAAAAAAAAGTGACCAAAATAAAAAAAAATTACAAAATAGGAACTAAAATGAAAATAAAGCCAAAAAGGGAATGCAACACTAAAATGAAAATAAAGCCAAAAAAGGAATGCAAAAAGAAAGAAAGGAAAAAAAAAAAAGAAGTGAACAATCAATCTACAGTACAACACTTTTACGTTTTATTTTAGTATATCTTATAATTTAAAATTTATATTTTTTTTCCCTTAAATACTCTATTTTAACTTCGAGAGCTTGTCGGCTTATAATTTCTCCAAATATCATAGGTTTTCAATAAAAAAAATTTAGAGCGTTGGCACATTTTTTTTCTTTTCTTAAGTTTCTTTCCAAATAACATCGTATTTGATTATTTAAAATATATCTTTTTATATTTGATTAAATAAAACCCATTGAAAGAATTGCTTTCTTTTTCAATTTATGATCTTTACAATCACATGATATTTTTCAATTATTTGATTGTTTAAAAAAAAATATTTTTATATTTAATCTAATAAAACCCATTGAAAGAATTGCTTTCTTTTTCAATTTATGATATTTACAACCACATGATATTTTTCAATTAGTTCTCAAGTACTGAAATGAAATCAAGTTTGTTTCTTGTTTTTAATCAAAGATATTTCATTGAGATGAAAAATCATTTTACGATTAATTAATAATAAATAAAATATACAAATAAAAAAAATTATATTATTTTAATCAAATTAATGAATGTTATGTGATTGTAAAATAAACATATTTATTTATTGAATAGGACATTATTTTGAAGAAAAATTTTCCAAAAAAACAGCCTAAAAGATTTGAAGGTCTACCTCCACGTTATTAGTAATTGAAAAATTGATACATTTGATCCAAACAATTGGAAGAGTTAGCGTACCAGACCTCACTTCATTTATAAAAATAAAATAAAAAACCATCAAAATCCGTATACTCAATTGAGAAAAATGAAACTTGGTGTACCAAACCCAATTGTAATAAAAGTTTTTGTTTGATAAAACAAAGTACGAACTATAAAATGGTAGGTAAAGTTTTTAAAGCCCATATTCGTAAGGATGTCACAAGCTCAGTCCCAAATTTTCAACTGTCAACGCACAAAACAAGCTCGCCATAAATGCTGCCAAGGGCCAACGGTGAGATCCATTGCTATGGTTACTTTGACGTACTGATATTATATAGTGTTTTTAAGTGCTCTGTACTCTTGCAGTTGCTAACGCCTGGAAGGCCGACAAATTCCAGTAATCCAAAGGTTCAAAAGCTATTTCTGCTTTGCTCTGGTGATTACTACAATTTACAACTACAACTGTAGTCAACCATCGGGTTTGCCGCCTCTCCTTTCCTTCTTTGCCTCCACTGTTATTTGTATGCTATATGTATTTACCACTAATTGCCTTTATTCCTGTATTAACCGCCCATATAAAACCATACTTCTCTTCAACACTGCCGCTGTGGCCAAAGTAAAATAGTAGAGGAGAATGAAGACGAAAAGGCCTCCTAAACTGCAGCAGAAACGATTACTGGCTATGCTTGTGTTAGCAGTGCTACTGTCCTCCTGCATTGCTCTTTTTGGGTTTTACAAACACCACCCCTACCTTTCATTAGCATCTCCCCTTGCCTCAGAAAGCTCCACCTTCCATCCAATCGAAAAGCACCACCACCACTACAACCATCAAGGCGTTTCTCTAAATGTACCACCGCCGGCGGCTACCCTTTTGCCCCCAGCGCCACCTCCACAAACAAAAACCGTAGACTTGGTATTGGAAACAGGGCCATATCATAATTGGGAACTTTTTGCTGATGATTTTCAAGAAATGTTGCAGCATTTAAAGATCTTTGTGTACCCGGATATCTTCAACAAGAGTCACCCTTTTGCTAACATTTTTCTTCCCCATGAGAACCCATTTAGCAATCCAAAACTGGGTAATTACTTTAGTGAACACATGTTCAAGGTGTCCCTTATACACAGTCCCTTGCTTACTTCAACCCCAGAAAAAGCCCATTTCTTTTTCCTCCCATTTTCAATAAACAACCTTAGAAATGACCCTCAAGTTCATTCTGAGGCAAAAATCTCACAATTTGTGGCCCAATACACGAATAGCATTAGCAGCAGCTTCAAATTTTGGAATGCTTCAGGAGGTGCTGATCATTTCTATGTTTGTTGTCATTCTGTTGGGAGAGAGGCTCCCTCCAAGCATCATGGTTTGCGTAACAATGCCATTCAGCTTACTTGTTGTTCGAGTTACTTCCAACGATTCTATCTTTCTCACAAAGATGTGGGGATTCCTCAAGTTTGGCCTCGCACGGATCGGACTGCCTTGAATCCTCCACATGCCAGGTATACCTCTAGTATCCAACCCTCTGTTATGTCTCTGGACGAATGCCTAACTCATTTCTAATTTTACATTTAGAAATAGTTCTTTTGCAATTCTATTTCATGGTTATTTGGAAGATTCATGAAGTTAGAGGAGGGGGAAGAATCAAGTATAGGCATACCTTGACCGCTCATGTCCATAAGATTGGTTACATTGCATGACAGCAAGTGAATAAGGTGTAGGAAATATGCCTGTATCAAATTTGAATGGGAGCAAGAAACTCGTGAAAAGCACAAGTACCTTAACACAAGCATGTCTGAAACCAAAATAATCACACGAGCAAGAAGTATAGAGATGTTTATTTTAAGAGTATCATTTTCTGTCTTCTTGCGAACTTCGATGTAATATTTTTTTAAGAGGTGCTATATCTTGATGTAAACACCGGCTGATGCAGGCATAGACTTATCTATTTTGCTGGACGCGTCCAAAATTCTCATGTCCGGAAGCAGCTGATAAATCTGTGGGGAAACGATACGCAATTTGACATATTTAATGGGAGTTCATCACTCCCTTATGAAGAAGGCTTTAAGAGGAGTAAATTTTGCCTTCATGTTAAAGGTTATGAGGTGAACACTGCAAGGGTTAGTGATGCCATACACTATGGGTGCATTCCTGTTATAATTTCTAATTATTACGATCTACCGTTTGCTAATACCTTGGATTGGAGCAAGTTTTCTGTTGTCATCAACCATCAAGATATTGCATTCTTGAAAACAAAATTGTTGTCTATAAAAAGAGGGATGTACCTGAGAATGTACCATAATCTCTGCAAAGTTAGGAGACACTTTGTTTGGCATACAACACCAAGGGGCTATGATTCCTTTTATATGACTGCTTATCAGTTATGGTTAAGGAGAAGCACTCTCCGTTTATCATATTAATTGCTGTATCTTTTGTCAATATCCTACTCTGAGATTCGAATCTTTCTATATTCTGAGTGCTTAAGTTAGGAGCTTAGATCGTCAGGTAGGGAAATTAAGGCCTTGTCAAACAAATCCGGCCTTTTGACGTGGTTAAAGATTCCCTCTTAGCTTCTGAGACGTCAACTACTGCCGTCTGTTTAAGAATAGGAAAGAAACAGCAAATGGAAGAGCATATTTTAAGAATAATCATACTGGGAATCATTTCATGGACAGCAGCGTTTCAACTCTAGAAAGCTCTTGCCAAAACGACCTTTGGAAGCCAGCCTGTTTGTGAGAACAAAAACCTGGACAACCGAGCCTTGACCTGATATGCCAAAAAGCCTGTACAAATGGATTGCCCAAGCATAGTCGCAAAGACAGTCCAAATCACAGGTTTTGTGGACTAAGCTGATAAAAGAGGGACAGTACAAAATCAATACAGACGCAGCAATGTTTGGATCCCCTTGAAGTGATGATTAGAAGCCACCAGAGAACATTAAAGGTTGCCGCTAACAAGAACTTCCACAGAATGAAATAACTAAAGTAGAAGCATGGGGCATGGTGGCCTCCACTTGAGGTTAAATTTGTCCAAAAGTGGCTAATGCGGGTATAATGATAAAGTACACCAGGTCCTACAAACCATGCTGGAATCGTTGTTCAGTGTTTATAGCTTTTCCCATAAATATATCTACCCCTAAAACTGTGATTTTAATGCGAGTTCATTCACGCCGGTGCCAAAAAATTCCAACAATGACAAAATAAGGTTTAACTAATTCTAATTCTGCAGGGTCATAACACCCAGGCCAAATCAGCTGGTTCTTCTAATGACACCATGAAAGCAGAAAACTTTAAAGACCATTAAATCTCACTCAACCTAGAATTGCTAGTAACCCAACCACGTTCTCAACCCCCTCAAAAAAAGAAAAGAAAAGAAAAAACAAATAGCAATTGCCTAAAACATATAGATCCCTTTTCCTCGATGCCAGCAAAAATTGCACTTTAAAACGACTACAAATGCCAGGATTATTGCTGTATTGTCAGTCTCCATTAATATTTTCGACTTCCAAGCATGTACTAAACCCTAGAAAAGTGCACCCACCTTCAAATTAAATATTACCAGCTGGGAAGATGACCTACAGTGAAAATCTACAGTGAAAATCTCAAATCTCTATGTTCTTAGCCAGTCTGCCCTCAAAAACATAAATGCACTCATGTTGTTACCGTAGGGCGGGAAATACAAATATAATAATCAAGACAAACAAGAATATACACTAATTTATCATTTTATAAATGGATAAGTTCTGCACAATGAGACAGCATAGTAGTTGAATATTTAGCTTGGATTGTTTATACACACAATTCTTTTACTTGGAAGTAGGAAATAACAAATCACGCTGTGGGTTCAGCTGAGGATGGATGATATGTGCGGCGCCTCAGCTCAGACTGTGGAGTGGGCTGTTGCAAAAAGATTCTCGTTGGATCATTAGGATCAACATATCTGCACAACAGATAAGAAAATATAATCACCAAGTGATTTTAATCTTGCAAACAAAAATTATATAATGTAGTATGTCACTTACGCATGTCTCATCATTTCATCAACTGGAGTGTGCGCTGCTTGCAGAGGATCTATACGAGGCCCTGGGGCAGAGTTCATTTGTTGATTGTATTGTCTCACCGAAGAAATCAAGTTGAAAAAAAGCGGAACAAAGGTTCCACAGCCCCCTTCCTTAAACAAAATTTTGAATGAGTGTGTGGAGTAGAGTGCCCTATTCTCATTCTCCGGAACTACCTGAAGTTTCATACCAGGACAATCAGCTTATATAGGAATAAGTGGAGATCCTATAGGAGAAAGCCTTTTCACTGTCATACTTACAGGCTCCACAAGACCAGAAATATTGTTGCAGAGAAATATAGGCTGGTTGAATTCTTCTCCATTGACAAAAAGCTGCATATCAGAGCACTATAAGAATAAGTCCCCGAGAAAGCCCAAAAGTACATGACCAACTGACCTCAAAATAATAACTTGGAATCTCATGCTTGGAAGCAACCATGGTCTTAAAATTTTGAGAATAAAAAAGACTGAAGGGTTGATAGAATCACTCCAGTTTTAGGTTTTCATTATGATATTTATTTCCACTTCTCAATAAGGGAAATACATTCAGGAAGAAAAAATTATCGATTATACAAATTTAGAGGGTGAGGAGTGAGAAACAAAGCAAAGTTAACGATACCAAACTGCTTAACTGCTAATAACAAACAGCTTCGTCTTTCTTTTCCTCGAGCTTAGCTCCAATTACAAATTCCAAATAAGCAAGTTTCAGAACGTCAAATGTTAGGTAATAGCACTGCCTAAATTTGGTTATATCAAAAAGTAATTCGACCAAGCTAATTAGAATCCAATCACCTCTGAAGACAAAACTAAACAGCTAATCTCTTATCAACATGAAAAAATTAAAAAAAAAAAAATCCAGGTGATTCCCACCAGCCAGAGCTTGAAAGCCAATGCAGTAACCCTACCAATGAATTAAAATGAATATGGAAAGAAAAAACGAAATGAATGAGGACTCTAACAACCAAATCAAAAGGTTCAAGGAAAAGGAATCACGAAGACTCTTTGCTATTCTTCATAAGAATAAGAATTTCAAGAACAGCTTATTGAGGATTGCATACTGATATACATATGTATTATTCACTTACCAGAGGCATATCAAAAGCATAAAAGTTTCCAACGGGCTTAGCTGCAACAAAGACCATGCGTATATTTGACAAGTAGATTGTTCCTTTAGCTTTGACTTTTCCACATCTGCAATTGAGCAGCAAGAGTTAAATATAAAAACAACTTATCATCAAATCGCTGATAGATAGCTGAAAGGCTATTCCCTAAAAAGAACCGAATCATTGTAATGGCAAAATAACTTTGGCTTCAAACACTTTGCTGAGAGATTATCGACTGTCTAATTGCACGAAAGATCATTTTTTTTAACAATTTAGATAATCACTAAACTATAACAAAATACAGCTGGTGACTGGCTGATCCATAAATATCAATAACTTTGCAAAATTTATACTTGCTCTTAACCTCTTCAACGACATTTGACAAATTTCTTGTTTATTTTGATCCGGCATCACGAGGCACCAGGTCATTTATTTTACCGCGTATCAGATGTGCTTGTAACAAGTCTAAACAATAATCTTTATTTTTTAAAAAATTGATATACTACACTTGCAAGTCAAAATAAACCCTAACTTCAATCAAAATCCAACAGAAAAAAAAAAAATCATACTCGAATCAAGAATTGTAATAAAAATCACATCAAAGGCACCAGAAAAAGGGGACATGGGGCAGTAAATGCTGAAACAACTCTTTCGACCTCGAATTACAATAAGAAGGAAACTAACCCGGGGATTTTGTCGATCTCGAATTCGACGCCGTCTCTGGCCAACACAAACAACTCGTTCTCGAAAGCAACGGGCATCCCGTTTTGATACAATTGTGGATTAAGAGCCATGTCTCTCTGTTTCACCTCTCTGATTTTCTTCTTCTTTTCGAGTCTTTTTAATTTGTCGATTTTTCTTCAATTCGATCTGCAAACTCCGAAGAGTTGTTATCCTTTATAGGTCGCCGCCATTGCTTTGCACCGAATCGAAATAAGATAAGACGCGTGATCTCTACCACCTTCTGGATCCGCTACCAAGCAAATTACAAATGCCACCTCGCTTCAATGAAAATACCATACTGAAGATTATTATTATTTATTATATAGGCTTATGGGCCCAGATATGGCCGTTGTAATGAGGCCCAAAAACTAACTTGAACTTCAGGATAACAGGTTCCATCTCCGAATCTTTTCACGAATGCAACCAGTAAGTATTCTGGCACTTGAAGAAACAGACCCAATTTGACATGGCTTGGTTCACGATGAATTAGATACGGAATGAACAGGAGCTGGACATGCAAAAACCATGCTGTAATCAGAATTATAAAGTTGGTAAGGAAGTTGTAAGAAAGTGAATAGAACACTCACCGCGACAAAACCGAAAAATAGCGACAGATTGTTTCTTTGCTATATCGTCAATATCTTCCGTTATTTAGCTTTAGCGACATTTTATGATAATACATTTTTAGTAACAAATGTGGTTGTCGTTATTTTCTTAATGATGAAATTTTTTTATGTCACTAAAGCAAGGCAAACAATCGTCTTTCCTAGTCAGTTATTTGTCACAAAATCATCGTTAATTAGTTATTTTCGTCGCTAACTAACGGTCGAATAGCTATCACTAAATCATATTTGCTAAAATTTCTTATAAATCTATCGCTATTTAACAACCGTATATATGTGTAATACCCATAAAACCAAGTAAGTAAATTAGATAAGGGGTTAAAGTGAGGGGCTTTTTGGTAACTTTATAAGGAAAGAAATAAAATGAGAAAGTGGCAGCATGTTTAAGTGAAACTAGAAAAGAGAAACAAAAGAAAAAGAGGAAAGGGGAGAGAGAAAGAAAAAGAAGAAAGGAAAGAGAGGAGAAGGAAGGAGAGGAAGAAGAAGACTCACCGACGACCACCCACTCGGCGACGACGATGGTGGACTCGACTCGGGTAAGAAGAAGAAAAATAAGAATAAAAAAGAGGTGAAATAAGGAAGAAGGAAAAAGATTTATTAAGTTAGTTTTTGAATTTTTTAGTTAATTATAACCTTAATTAGGATGGGTTATAGGTAATTTAGTGAATTTTATTTTGAATTAAGAATTAGAATTATGGATTAGGTTTAATTAAAATTAGGATTTATGTTAGTTTAGGAAATTTAAAAAAAATGATTGAATGGGTTAATTAGGGTCCAATTAAGCTTGAATTTCAATTTATTAGTGTCTAATTTTGTTATTATTGATGAATGTAAATTTATGATGATAGAAGTAAGAGAGCATTTAGTGGAAGAAGCTACTTAATGAAGAGACAATTACAATTTGGGATGTTCCTCTAGATTAGAGGTAAGTATAGCACATATTATGAGTTTTAATTATCATATATGAATATATTGCTTGTGAAGTGAAAAAAATAATTGTCTGGATAAATGCTTCATTAGTACAAATAATTATATATGAGTTGAATTATTTTAGTACGGGTGTTCTTACTATAAGCTAAATGAATTAAAGTGGTATGTTGTTGTATGAATTGTGGTTATTAAAGAGAATATTGATACATTGAATGGTATATGTGCATGTTGATATGATGATCACTTGCATTAAATGGAATTGTGTGATTGCTATGTACTCGAATGAGAATAATGAGATTGATGACTTGAAAGAAGTCTATGCGGGATTAACTAAGCTAACATGGTTATAGTTAGCCTAGGTGCACCTAGTATTGCTGGCTAGGGAATGGCCGCGATGCTTCCCTCGAGTTTACACTGCGGGGGCTAGAGTTCACGAGTTACCCTTGTGAGGGTCATAGTTACCCTTTTGAGGGCCAAAGGAATAGACGATTCTGCATGAGAGATTTCAAGAAATTGTTATGCTATTATTAATTATTAAGAAAGAAAGAAAGAAAAAAGTTATTGATTGCTTGCTTGCTTGGTTGCAAATCATGTATGATAGGTGCATTGGCATAATTGTATGTATAGCGATTTATAATATGTGTTATGCTTACCGAGTTTGAAAACTCACCCCCAACCTCAAATATTTTTTAGATAATACGAAGCTAGATCATAGAAGGAGGAAGATAGATTTTCTAGATTTGAAGGTACTACCCGGATATTATTTTGCTTCCTCCGGGTATAGGACATGGTTGTTTCAAATTTGTATTCATTGTCCATTTTGGAATTGTAATTAGTCATTATGTATTTTATTTCACTTAGTTGCTCACTGGTATCATCACCAAATCCAGGGATAGCTAGTTAAGGGTCTTCATGTTTTGTATTTGGATGGTTAAATGGTGATTTATAAATTTGATTATGTTAAATATTGGATTATGTGTATTTTTGTTAATTTAGTAAATACTGAGATTTATGAGGAAGTGAGGATGTCCAATGGAGGAACTTAAGGATGATTGAGAATTGGTGAAGATGATTTGGAAGTGTACATCTATTGTGATTTTTATGCGGGATATATATTATTTTTGGGACCCTCCAATTATAGGGGAAATGCTCGTTGAAATTTCGTAGGAAATAGAGAAAGGATTAAGGCTTACATAACTCGTGGTGGGTCACCCCACCCCGGGCTACGTGCCGGTCGCGGCTCGCCGGTTCGGGTCGTGACCATATGTTCCTCGCAATGAGATTTAATTTTTATCTCTAATTCGGTTGTTAATCCATCGATAAACGAAGAAATTTTTTTATAAATTAATAATCATTTAACATTAATGATAGTAATAAACAACTAAAAATAACACTTTATTAAAATATGATATATTATTTAATAAAATTAAAATAATATAAATTAAAATTAAATAAATATATAAATATTTTAAGATCTATGAAAGCATTAAAAACCTTAAAAAAAAAATCTAATCCTCATCAATTTCTGCATCATCTTTCGGTTGTTAGGTATTAAGAGGAATGATTGACTCTTGAGTTGTGGGGAGGTCGGCAAGAGGAACGCAAATCATTACGGGTCCCGTAACAACCCCATCACTATCTCGCATCCGATCGTACGAGTGTTGAACCGACCGATCTGTTCTTGGATTTTAATCACCATTCACTTGATTCTATCTTCGTACTAGGCGAAACCTCCCGAATATTACCGCTAGGATACCGCGAAGTTTTGAAGGTAGAGTCGGTGCTAGAATGGGAGTAAAATTAGGACATCTATAATCCGAGATCGTACACTCTTTACTTCTTCTTCCCTCCTACAACATCTAAATGTATCTTGGTCATGTCAATGTTTGAAGATGATGAATCACCCTCCATCTCGCTCTTTAACAACTATATTTTCAATAACTATATGTGCTTCTACCTCATTGAAATAATTATAATAGTAAATCATAAATATATATTTTTAGATTATATTGATAGATATATATTTATAAAAATAAAAAACTTACCATTATTATTTGAGACCACTTGTTGATGAATGATCCATCTTTTTGATTGTGAGTGGTCACGAATAACTCATAAAGTTTGAGTTACGATTCAATTTATTATACTGAAAAAATAAACAAAATAATATGAGATGTAATAAATACAAAAATTAATTTATAGCACAATGGATAATAGGATTTACCAAACGTTAAGCGTGTTCAATCAAAGAGATGGACCCTTCGTATGCTTGGATGGGCTAACACCAACACCATCCGCTTTCGATATATAGTTTCGAGATGCATGTTGAGATCGAACTTGAAACTTAAGTGTGGCCTAATCTCGATACCATGCTTCACACACTCGTTGTTTAACATACACGGATTTGTTAATCTTATGCTTCGACTTGTCACCGTACCGCTTTTGTGTCAAACCCTTCCATGCATCCTTAATCGGCACGTCGACAATCACATCCCATAAAAAAATTCTACATGAAGAAAAAAATAACATTAGTACATTTTATCTTAAATTAATACTTTAAATAAAACATAAATAATTAATTAATATGTTATCTTAAACTCATTAAAGTAGAAGTCTTTCATCTCAATGGAGACAAACTTTCATGTCGAATCAACGACGTCCAATCGCTCTTTAAAAATTACGGTGATTTTTGTAGAGCACTTAATAAAACCAAACGAGTTGAACAAAACAAATAAATAATAAATAAGTGGATTAATGATTCTAATATAATATATCAAAAGATAAAACTAATTATCACATGAAAAACATATTACTTACCGATTATTCATAAATCGAATGATCCGTCCGAGTATTAGATCCGGTAGAGCTTTCTAGAGTCGAGGAAACTATCATGGGGACCTCTATAGCTAAGGTTGCTACGCCGAGGGCACCACCCGAGGGGTCACACACTAGTAGAGATGCGAAGTGCCGATGGCATTATCAAGTCCACGGCTCCGAACATTTGCACTAGTAATGTCATGTCCACGTACGATGCCATTATTAGTGGTATGGTCATGGACATTTTCGGTATTGGTGCTACGACCACGGGCATTATCACCATCGAGCCACGACCACTTGCAACATGATCGGATCCGTCGAGTCCACAAGGCATAACTCTAGAATAACACTTAAAACGAGTTTAACAAATATAACAAATGAATAACAATTCGATTGAAAATATATTATAAATTGTTTTCATAAAAAAAATCGACAATCTCATCGATAAATTGCACATTTTCCAATTAACAAACAATCTAAATTATCACATAAACATTGAAATTAAATAAACCAATAATTAATTTGTGCATACCAAGACCGACACTTGCCTTGGATACTTTATTGGAATTAATTCTCAAACTTATCCTTCCATGTCTATCATAGAGCATTGAACCAACCTTATTTCTCCTCGGTTGTTGAGAGTCTCAAACCCTTAGGGTTCAATATATCATGGTGTATCTCGACACATTTCAACAATCATCAATAAAATAATTAAATTAACCCCAATTCAAACCTAATTAAATATTAAATAACAAATTGTAATGTAAATAAAATTAGAAATAAACTAATTAATCAAAATTAACCTAATTAATTTAAACCTAAATCAAATTAACTTAAATTAAATATAATTCAAACCTAAATCAAATAACCTTAATTTAATATAATTCAAACCTAATTAAATTTAAAATAACAAATAATTAATAATTTTCAATATAAATAAAATTAAAAATCAACCAATTAATAAAAAATGATCAAATTAATTTAACTCTGTTAACCTAAGTAAATCAACCCTAATTCAAACCTAATTAATTTAAATAACAATTAATTAAAAAATTAACCTAATTAATTTAATTCAAATTCAAATTAAACTAACTACTTTAAATCTAATTCAAATTAACCTAAGTAAATTAACTTTAATTAAAACCTAACTAACCTAATTAATTTAACCGCTATTAGCAAATTAGCCCATCTAGTTTAAATATCAATTAATTAACACATTAGTTTAACAAATTTAACTCTAATTCAAATTAACCTAATTAATTTAATTCTAATTCAAATTAACCTAAGTAAATTAACCTTAATTAAAACCTAATTAACCTAATTAATTTAACCCTATTTAACAAATTAACCCAATTAATTTAAGTGTCAATTAATTAACAAATTACCTTAACTAATTTAACTCTAATTCAAATTAACCTAATTAATTTAACTCTAATTCAAATTAAACTAAGCAAATTAACCCCAATTGAAACTTAATTAACCTAATTAATTTAACCCTAATTAACAAATTAACTTAATTAATTTAATTATCAATTAATTAACAAATTACCCTAACAAATTTAACTCTAATTCAAATTAACCTAAGTAAATTAACCCTAATTGAAGCCTAATTAACCTAATTAATTCAACCCTAATTAATAATTTAACCCAATTAATTTAAATATCAATTAATTAACAAATTACCCCAACCAATTTAACTCTAATTCAAAGTAACCTAAGTAAATTAACCCTAATTCAAACCTAATTAGTCTAACTAATTTAACCTTAATTGATAAATTGGCCTAATTAATTTAAATATTAATTAATTAACAGATTAACCTAACTAATTAATAATTAAATATAAACAAATTAAAATGCAACCAATTAATCATAATCAATCTAACAATTATGAAAAATAACAACATTTTTTAGGAAACAAAAAAAAGAGAAAACATACCTTCGGACAATTAGGAAGAGATGAAGAGGAAGGAGGAAATTCAATGTTTTTTACAAAGAAAAGAGTTTGGAGTGGGTGCGGTTGCTTGGGGAGTGGACGAGCTAATTTTTGTGGCAATTTTAGGTGGGATTGATAGCAGTGGCAACAACGATTGAAGGAGGAAAGGGAGAGGAAGAAGAAAATGAGAGAAGAAGAAAGAAAAACTATGACTTAGGGATTTAAAATTAGTGATGGACATAAGTATTCCTTGCCAATCCATCTCTAATCCGGTGGAATTTGAATAAACAAAATCCGCTCCTTTTTTTAATACTACAAGGAAAATGTTCAATTAGCGACGGATATTATGTCGTTAACCCTTTACTAAACCATCTCCAATATACCCGTGAATATTTTAACGTCAAATATAGTGACGGATATAGATCCCTCGTTGAAAATCCATTGATGTTACGTAATCGAGGTTCACAACTCAACAACGAGTCATAATTCATTAGTCGACCTGTCATTGATTTCCATAGCTGATTTCCATAGCTATTTTCTGATTTTCTTGTAGTGATTATGTGTACAAAAGTTCTCTTCAGAAACAATCACTTGATGATCAAGTTAATTTATATGCACGCCTAGCATAATCAAGTGTGTTTAAGAGAAACAGAGATATTCTGATGGGTCCAATGCAGCCGGGGACAAGAGAAATGGCTGACACTACCCTTGCTACTTCTTTATAACAAACATCTCCAGGGATTTGAAAATCCTAAGAGCTGGAAGGATCCTGCAAATCATCGCATCATTACTTGATCACTATGCTTATAGGTGGGAGCATAAATAATCTCAATGCCAGCTTATAAAAGAATCGGAACTGCTCCAAATTGGCAGACAAACTGGTTACTTCAGGAAAAAAGAAAAAAAAGTAGTAGTGGTGATGCCAAAAGAAAATTGATGCAGTCCTAACACCTTTTGTGTCTTAGCTACTTGGTTGTTGTATTTGTGCACTATATAAAAAGGATAAGCATACATAAATCATCCATCTAGAACGATTAAATAATGAAAATTGACATGGCATCCAGAAGCAGTGACTGGTCGCAATGGGTAGCGTGGAGCAGGAGGAGGTTTTTCTCAGTAGAGCTAAAATTTTCTAAAATAGTTAAAATCACAAGAAAACGCTCCTTTTGCCTTTTATTGTAAACAGTTAAATCAGCCAAGATAAGTCAATGCAGGTGCCAAATCAATATTGAGCTATATTTTTATGTGTTAATTTTTCCTCGGTGCCCATTCTCGCTTGAGCCTCTTCCTAGTGAGAGAAGAGGGAGAGTAATATAAGAACGTATTAACAGCCATTAAGGTCACAGTCAGCATAGTCAATCTCCAAGTGATAGAATGCAAACTTATGCCGCCATTCTAAAAGGGTACACAAAAGTGAATACTTACCTTAACTGAATTTGTTCCTATATCAATTACAGTTGCTCCTGGTTTTAGCCACTCACCTCGAACTATGTTAGGTGTCCTAACATCTGAGACTACAATGTCAGCTTCACAAGTTATTTGCTCTGGGACCCTGGTAAATGGTTGTACGGTGCTAAACCGTTGTATGATGCCTCTGCCCACCAGCAACCCGTTACACCCACAATTAATGACGAAATCGTTTCATACAGGAAACCAAGAAACTTTACCTGTGGGCAAGCCAACAATCTTGCTTCTTCCAATCACAATTGCTTTCTTTCTAATGATTTCAACTCCAAACCTGAGCAACAACTCAATGCAACCCTTAGCAGCACAAGGGATGAATAAGGGGCTCCCTTCCCCTCATAGCAAGATTCCCGATGTTGAGCGGATGGAAACCATCCACATCTTTCTCAGGACTTACAAAATTGATAATCTTTTCCTCGTCCAGATGCTGTGTCAACAATTTCATTTATGAACCATATAGCAAGGTCAGGATTGCCTTATTTGACTTGTGTCAAACATGTGGACATCAAATAATTTAGGATCCAGGAAGAGGAGGATTTAGCCATATTCATTTATGAGAAAAACACATTACCTTTACTGTTTTTATGATACAAAAAGCTAAGCATAAAAATATGTCATGTTACGATCACTTGTCATTATTCACTCAAGGAGAACTGGACCAGGATGATAACTAATTCTATTAGATCCCATAAGCAACCATTCTAGTGCTCTACAAGAAGCGTTCAAAATGCATATCCTTTCTTCAATCTTCATACATTCTTAGCAAAAACATATACTAGGAAAGTAATAACTACGCATCGTGACTATACGAAAAATTTTATAATACACAAGGAGTAACTCAGTAGCATGTACGGTAGTTACTTCGTATCCACTTTGAGGAGAGAGATAGACACATAAAAAAAGAAAAATTACATCTATACCCATCAAAAGTGATAAGAAGATTTCCACGTCTCGCTCAAATTTTTTTATTCTCTCTCTTCTATTTTTCTCTATTTCTTTTTATGTGTCTATCTCTCTCCTCAAAGTGGGCATAAGGAGTAACTACCGTACATGCCACTGAGTTACTTGTTGTGTATTATAAAATTTTTCGTCACTGTACCATTATCCAAACAAAATTCCAATATCCTTCATTTAGTGCAATGCATGCAGATCGCAGGAAACAGGAAACTTTAGCAAATTCAAAAGGAATTTCAGGCATTAAAAATTTGTTCATTGGCATGCGTAATGATTGGAAATAGAGGAACAAGCAAATAAGTACGGGGCAGCAAGAGAAATTACTTGGGGTAAAGGAATTTGTACTTTAATGCCATGTACTGACGGGTTCCTGTTAAAACTCGAAACAACATCAAGAACTTCATCCTCTGTACAGTCATCAGGGAGTTCCCCCACCCAACTTGCAATCCGAACTTCAACACAAGCTTTCAACTTGATGAGGATAAAAGTATGGGAATCCCTCCTTTTTCCTATCAGAACAACAGCCAGCCCTGGAGATTTTCCAATGGCAGCTTTCATTTCGCGTATTTGGCTAGCTATCGCTGCCTTTATGTCTTTTGCTATCAACTTTCCATACATCAATTTCGTTGTCTGCCCATTAGCTGTTCAAACATGTCAGTCTTAACACAAGATTTAAAGATAGTGCTAAAATAATCAAAATATCATTCTAATACTGAACTACGTGGCCAAAAAATCAACATAACACCCAGAATCCAATCATCCATCAACTTAAAGATGCATTTTTTTTTTTTTTGCAGGGAAATTCAATAACCTTCATGGATTCTTGCAGTGAAGCCTCATCGGCAGGAACCCAAAAGTCAGGGAGGTTTGGGCCAAGAATGGGAATGGGAATTGAATTCCAACAAGATGAAGACGAAAATGAATGAAATTGGAATGGGATACTTTTAGCCAAATTACTGCGCCGTGTCAGCAGGTTTCTTGCACCACTCGCATTATTTAAGCTCTGTTTATTGGTTGAGCTTATCTCCACCAGAATTAACGAAGCAACTACCAGAATTAACGAAGCAACTACCAGAGCCAACTTCACCGTCTTCCAAAATTCTTCTCCTTTTCTGGGATGTACTTACCTGTCGGCTCGGCTCTTGGGCTAGTGGTATTTTTTGTCCCAGTAAATTTAGGTCCCTGAACTTTCAATTTTTTTCGCAATCAACATCTCACTAAAATGATATTTCATATTTCTTTAATTCTTTCCCTTATGCAATGCAAGAGGGAAAGTGACTTTTACCCTTCAAATTCGGCACTTAAGAAGTTATCTTTAACTTTAGCCCAAACTGTTTGACTTGATAAAAAAAATGTTTGGCTCATCAAAATTTCGGATGAATTGAACGATTGATGTTTTGTGGAGCCATTAATTTTAGCACTTACACGAATCAAAATTTAAAATAAAATGAACAAATTAAAATGAAATGCTCCTTGCATGATATTGCACCGAGTAAGGAAAATTTAATAAGGGTTCTGAAACGGTATGTGAAATAATAATGTAATATCATCATCTATTTTGCAATACAAACTTTCTGCTGAAATTGTTTACGTTAAATTATGGAAAGTTCTATAAAAAGGCACTATCTTTAGAAATCCCTGATAGAAAAGTCGAGTCCCTTCATTTATTTCGATAAATTGGCATTAGATCTAACGTCGGTTACTCTTAAAACATGCCCCACAGGACCACGCCAATGCATGTGAAACAAACTAAAGACGACATGTCTCAGCAACAATTTCCTAACCGCTGGTGTAATCAAAGGCACAAAAAGTTTGTTACTTGGTACTTGACAAATATGCACGGGTTTACTCTCCGTCCAACACCACACAGCCACCTCTTCTGTCTCCGTTGCCTGTCTCCAAGATCTCTTCTTTACCTACAAAATAAAGCAAAACTATCAATACCCAGTTGCAGATACAGCTATGGAAGTGATTTTAGCCTACTTTTATTTGCCCCACAAGTATTCGCTCCAACCTTCAAGAATTTTAAGAACAGGAGAAGATACTGTCATACCCTTTTGAGAGCAAGTCGTAGAGAATCTCCTTATCAAGTTTTAGGCGTGTCTCCTTCTGCTACTCCTGATGAAATCAAAAGAGCTTATAGGAAACTTGCTTTAAAGTATCATCCTGATGTTAATAAAGAGGTAATTAGCTATTAACCTCTAGTCATGTTTAATTATTCGCGTTGTTACTTTGGATTGACCAATTTTTTTGATGCATTAGCTTAAATTGCTTTCAATTTAACTAGTTAATCTAGTCTAATTAAGCCTGCTTTACTTTGGCTCCTGTATGTTTACTTATATTGAATTTTGAAGATATCGATTTGATTTACATAAAAAATAGTTGTTCTTTCAGTTTTCACTGCATTGTGGAAGAAAATATTGGGTATAGCAATTTTATTTTGTTGTAAGGATGGCTATAATTAGGAAGGTTATGTGGGTATATAATAAATTTTGTGAAATAACAATCACATTACTTCTTATTAGATAGAGATCGAGACAACCAAATCTTCTTTAGCATTTATGTAAAACTTGGCTATGATTTGAATTCTTGTTATATATCTTCTTCCATGGATTTTTTAATGCATCACTTCCCAAAGACAGAGGCGGGTAAGCTTCACTGTAGCATATTGAAACTACAAATCCTAAGTAATGTAGCATCTGTCTTTGGGAACTTATACATAGGAAGAACAAAACTTTATTGAGATGTCCAATGTATTCGTAGATCAAGGAAACAATTGTTTTCCTATTAAGGTTGGACAAGTGACCGCAGTTTTTATGTTACTCACTCCTAACGCTTGGTGTACCAGTTGCATTCTTATTGTTTTCAAGCTGCCCAGCTTGCTGTCCAGAAGCAGAAAAAGCTGCTGAATTTTTCAGTTAGTCATCTTTTATGTAGATGAAATTTTAAGCTGGTATTGCTCTTGATTAAAAATAATTTGACTCTAAATTAGTTGCCCGAGGAGCTAATTTTTTCATCCTTTGTGAAGTGATCTTCCCTAGCATGGTTGAAATGCTCTCTCTCCTGCTTATCTCAGGTGTCAATCAGGCTACATTTAGATTTGCAGTAAATGATCTGGTCCATTAAATTATTTATTAAATCCTCTTCGAAGTATCACCCAATTCTATCTCACATCTAGTCCAGCCTTGAATTGGTTAGCTGGATTTGTTTACCATTCTGATGCTCACTCAAAACCTTTCCATTTGGTTCCATGCTTGATGGATCTACCCTAACTACCATAGCTGAATCAGAGGAAGGGAAATTATTTGCTCATGAGACAGACAAGCCCGATTTTTTTATGGTTATATACTCATACTACACTACTACAGGCATTGGATATTTTTCAAACAGATGTTGCAAAAGAGCCATCACCCCTGCTTTTAAGTTTTACTTCTTTGTTGCTATGGTAGAAGAGTCAGGTTGCCAAGCATAATTGTGCCTTTTGAGTCTTTAGAATTGCCACTTAATAGACAGATATTGAAGGTTCAGCCTTATGCATATGGTCCTTGTCGGATCTTGATTTGGTTGGATCAAAATTGTGTAGTGGCCTGTCTATTTTATAAAACTTCATCTCAGAGGTTGCCTTGTCTATGTTGCTTGGAGTGTTTATGCACTTTTGCTATACACTAATTGGTAAATTACCCTGTTTGATCTGTTATTTTTAATATTTTTCCTTTCCAATCTATGGTGCTTTGTTTATCTAATCAGATTTCTATATCTCATTTTTTCTGGTGTGCAGTCAAATGCTCAGGAGAAATTTATGAGGATTAAGCATGCATACAACACGTTGCTGAATTCTGAATCTCGGAGAAAGTATGATGCTGGAAACTCATCTGGTTTTTCATACTCTAGTGGCCAGAAAACACAAAGCTGGAATACCCAAGATGAAGAAGATTTTTATGGATTTGGTAAAATCTTGTAAACCTACAAAATCTATTTGATTATTTTACTTGAGAAATTTGCTTGTTGAGGCCATTTACTCTTTTCTACATGCCATTTAGATGTCGTTGTGTCTGCATACTACTATATTCTGCTTCGATGTGTGTAAGTTATTAGAGTACCTGCTGCATGGGTAATGCCATCTGAAGGACATGTTACTAGCGGGCGTTAGATCTTACAGAACTATATCATGGGACGATTGACAAACCTGATTTTTCCTAACCATCTAACTGGAAAAAGGTTGATCAAAAGTTGGTCACACAAAATTTGACCCTTACTTGGACCAACCTGTAATGAAGTTCAGCTTCAAGAGTAGTTAAAATTCCTGTTGTGTTTTTGTCATCTGCATGTTGTCTGGCAGTTTCTTAGAAACTTCAGTGCTGCTTATTTTTTGCTTGAGTCAATTCTTTTGCCACCTATGCGTGGTTTATGGGATGGGTAAACTTGTTGACGTGTGTCATGCTCTTAACTGCCTAGCAGGCTGGTTTTTAATGGGTGATGTGTAATAGAAACAGTAGCTTTTGATGCGTGCAATTTTCCCGCCTGCACTACAGATTATTTTTCCGTAATCCTGGAAATTCCCAGGGAAATGATTTTCTGAATTTTTATGCTGTCATTTTCTATCTTTTGTTAGGAGTTAGGTTTATTTGTTCTTATGCATAACCGCTTTATGCTGCAGGTAATTTTTTGAGGGATGTTCAGATAACAATAGGTAGTTTATACTGTCTATGACACGTGACAATGCTTATAAAGTTTTTTCACTTGTTTAAAGTCTCGTTGGCCATTTTCTCCTACCCTATCTTAAATTCACATAGTTTTTTGTAGTCACTTGGTCTGGTATTATTGTTACAGGGGACTTCTTTAGGGATCTGCAAGAAGAGTTCCAGAATTGGGAAGCCAGCGCTCCATCTGAAGGGAAGCCAAAGAGCCTGTGGGAAGAATTGGCGGTATGTTGCTTTTAATTTTGCACTTGCACTTTCAAGACGCAATATATCTATTTAAACAAGCTAGCTGTCACATGCATGCTTGGACTTTTCACTAAAGATTTGTGTAATCTACAAAGCAAAGGACATGCTGAGGAAACAGCTTCACCATGTATTTTCACTGTCTGCAGGAAATAGGGGAAGAATTTGTGGAGTTCCTAGAGAAAGAGCTCAACATAACAGATACAGAATTCGAAGGAAATAAAAATGACGGATTTCAAAGAGATGATTTTTTTTCCAGTTCTAGCACAAAGAGAACAGGAAATGGTGCTCGAAATGAAGATGGCAAGAGTAGCAGCATCCAAGATAACATTGATGAGATTGAAGCTACTCTTGCTAAGTTGAAAAGGGAATTGGGCTTATAGCAAGGAAATGCAGCCTGGTATTGTACCCTGAGTTGGAGATGCTGAAGGTTGAAGGCAAGTAGTACTGTCAATCTGTAATCTAGAGTCAAGACGACGCTCAGATATAGTTAATTGTGAGATCTCAAAAACTCCGAGGCTGACTTCTTCTGAAGATCTCATCAGTCACCGTCTTGGAGAAATTATGGACGGAAGACGAGAAATTTTCTAGGACACAAAGAGTAATTAATGACATGTATAGTAATTATTTAACATATTCACTTTGAAAAGAAAGATACATTGAATTATATCTGAATCCATCAAAAGTGATAAGAAGATTTTCATATTTGCTCAATTTTTTTTTTAAAAAAAAATTTTCTCTTATTTATTATTATTTTTTTTTCTCAAAGTGAATAATTACTATATATGTCATTAGTTATTTTTTGTTTATTATAAAATTTCTCAAACAAGATATAGAGTAATTATTATATATGTCATTAATTATTTTTTATGTATTATAAAATTTTTCAATCTAGAAAACATATTTATAAGGATTGCAAAATGTCGACGGCAAAAGTGCATCCTTATTTCTTGCAGTGTTTGGCTATGTAGACACGAGGTTGTAGATATTGAAGATGTAATCATTTATCTTGGTAGCCGTATCTTTGTGGATCTGATGTTTTAAATTTGATTGGTGACTTGCGTTAAAAACTGGAAAAGGTGGATGATACATGAATGAATAGATTCAAGTTATCAATTATTTATTTATTTTTTGGCTTGAGAATGTTAAATTTATCGTTTAGATGGAGAAATTAATGGATGTAAAAACCCAAGAAAGGATGATATATATTAGAATGTTGCACCTTAATGCAAACCGTAATAGCATGAGAATGGTTTGGATGGTATCTGTCGTCAAATCTTGGCACCAATTTCAAAATTCATAACTACATATAAGAACATAAAAACACTAACTTCATTAAACATTTGCTTCCATTAAAATACTCTTATTATATAGCCATAATAAATTTTTTTTTGCTCGTGTTATGCTGTGTATTTGATAAAATATATAAATTATTTCAATTTGATAATTTGTGTTATGATAAGAATCTATAAAAATATATGAAATCAAAGAATAAAAAAATTATTTATAATTTTTTAATAAAAAAATTTATATTTAACTATTATTTATTTTTTTTCATAATTTTTTAAAAAGGATTTATCCTTGTTAATCCATGTATTATTAACTAAAAAGAAAATTAAATAAGTTTTTTAAAACAAGCTTTAGTATTTTATAAGATTGTGTCGAAAAACATAGATAACAATTATTAAAAACTTACATAGAATTGAATAAATAAATTTTTTATTTAATATTGATGAGAATATCTGTTTTTGAAAAAATATGAATTTAATTTTTATATATTTATTTACAAAAGAATGAATAATATTAAAATAAAAAACTATATTACTATGACTTTCAACTATTAATTAATTAATTTGAATTTTTTTCTAAAAAAATCGAGAAAAATTATTTGAAATACACTTTTAATCTAAAAATATGTTTTAAATAAATTATATATATTAATCATACCACTATAATTTAAAATTTATATAAATCTATTTTTCAAAAGAAAAAAATAATCACGTTCTAAAAATTTACTCTAAAATCCATATATATGGAAAAGTAAATCAAAATTGTCAATAAATATATTTTAAATTAATTGGATGAAAATTTAAAAAACAAATGACATATTAAAGTAGTAAATTTTAAATAATAAAAATAATTAATAAAAAAATACTAAAATAAAATGGGATCAAATCACAATATAATCAAAGTTTGAAATTTAAAAAAATAAAAAATTAATGTAGTAAATTTTAAATAACATAAAAAAAACCGAGAAAAAAATATTTGAAAGACATTTTTAATCTAAAAATGTATTTCAGACAAATTATATATATTAATCATGCCACTATAATTTAAAAATTATCTAAATTTATTTTTTTTAAAAAAATAATCATGTTCTAAAAATTTATTTCAAAATCCATACATGTAGAAAAATAAATCAAAATTGTTAGTAAATATAATTTTAAATTAATTAGATGATAATTTTAAAAAAATGACAAATTAAAGTAATAAATTTTAAATAATAAAAATAATTAACAAAAAACACTAAAACAAAATGTGACTAAATCATAATATAATCAAAGTTTGAAATTTAAAAAAAAAGAAGAAAGAGAATTTTTTTTTAAAATGACAAATTAATGTAGTAAATTTAAAGTGATAAAAAAACCAAGAAAAAATTATTTGAAATATACTTTTAATCTAAAATGTATTTCAGAAAAATTATATATATTAATCATGCCACTATAATTTAAAAATTATCTAAATCTATTTTCAAAAAAAAAAAATCATATTCTAAAAATTTATTCCAAAATCCATACATATAGAAAAATAAATCAAAACTGTTAGTAAATATAATTTTAAATTAATTGGATAAGATTTTTTTTTTAAATGACAAATTAAGTAGTAAATTTTAAATAATTAAAATAATTAACAAAAAATATTAAAACAAAATGAGATAAAATCACAATATAATTAAAGTTTGACATTGAAAAAAGAAAGAGAATTAAAAAAAATGACAAATTAAAGTAGTAAATTTTAAATAGTAAAAATAATTAACAAAAAATATTAAAACAAAATGAGATCAAATCACAATATAATTAGAGTTTGAAATTGAAAAAAAAGTATAGAAAAATTGAGGACCAAAGTGTTACAAAAATACCATGAATAGTAAAAGGAATAGTGATTTGTGAGTGTAAGAATAGTGATTTATGAGTGTGTGAATAGTATTTTAAATAGTAAATAAATAGTAAAACTATATTTTACTTTAGTTTTATGGTAATGACTGAGATATCCTACCAAAGTTAACTGAAAAATTCCTTTGTTTTAGCAGTTGAATGGAATAATATTTCATAGTTGTTTTTTAACTTTTTTCTTTTAAAGAATTCATCGACCGATTTGCCTGATTACAAATGAAGTTGGTTTGGACTTGTGCTTGGGCTTCTTTTATTTCAACGGGGATGATAATAAGGAATTACATTTCTTCTTTCTCAAAATATATTAATTTTTCTTCATTTCAATCAAGCTAATATTTAAATGTGATGACTCAATATTATCATTGTAGCATCATTCTGAAAGAATGCAACTGAAAGAAAGTTCCCGTTATAGGAATTTGTACTAAATTATTTTAATATTAGTTATTATTCCATGAAATCGCTACAAGATCTATGATTTCTTTTTCTCCTGGGAATTTATCAACAAATACCTGCTGTACAAGCATCAAGACTTTTAAGACATGAATTAATGTAAGTCTCTTCTTCTTCTTCTTCTTTTTTAAAAAATTATTATTCCCTAAAAAATCACATTAAATATATTTAAAAATTATTCTTACTTTATTTTATGATATTTTATTATTTTATAAAATTATGAAAAAAATTATTTTTTATCAAAACGAAGGTTTACTTTTATGTGGCTAGTGAAAGATGAAAAGCTATTGAATCCAAAGACATCTAAAAATATTGCAGTTTCAACGGTGGCCATATATATAATTGGTTTGTCATTTAATAAATTAGTATTTTTCACTTTAAAGAATATTTTTCAAACTGTGTAAAATTCTCCATGAGACTTATAATCTCAGAAAAAAAAAAGGCATGTGTTCATATAAATTAGTGTGATACAATAAATCGCCTATGATAGTGTTTCTAAATGATTGAAAAAAAAGAAGGCCCGTGCAATTGCACCTGAAAATGGCTAGTACATACCAAGTCTCAGGACTCAACAGGGAGAAAAATGAACAAGAAAAATTAACCGATCCCATCACATTAGTAAAGAATAAAGATGAAAATGCTCTAAGGATTTCAAAAGCTGAAAAAAAAGACGGCAAATCAAACATCAACAGATGTAAGTCACTTGATTTCAAAATAACTATCGGATTTTGAACAACAAAGACTAATATGCTTAGGAAAGTCTAAGGTATTTTAAGTACACAAGCCCGAAAATTGGGACAACACAGTTTTCTCAGAATCTCTGTAAAGCCGGATATAAAAGATATGATTCCCAAAAACTGACTAGACAAGGAACACTCAAATTGAATCATGTATCTACTTCTAAGTATCTCACAAGATTTCAAAGGATCAAAAACTCCGGCAGTTATTCCAAAAATCTGATGGCCGAAATGTACTAAGCAAACCTACATTGCCAATCAAGCTTTCAGTATCTCTCCCCAAACCTGAAGAACACTGAACCAGTGCCAGTGTTATGATCAACAGCATACTCAGCTCGAACTAAACCCAGCTTGACACCAACTCCATAAGATGAACCATGACCCATACGCCTGTAGACCTCTGTTGGGTTCCCCTTCACATCCTTAGAACTTCCTAGATCATTGCCATGCTCTGCAAATGCATAGACATGTGTATTTCTCACAGGTATGCGTACCTCCACTCCGAGCTGGAAGCAACATTGAAAAGAGGGATCAGATATCTGATTACAAGTCCACATCTATGGAATATAGGAACAATCATATTTTCCATCCACATACAATTAATTCTTGCAAAAGTTCCATTTTCAGAAGAAACACGGATAAAGAAAAATGCAGAACACAGTTCATCTTGGCCCTAGGTAAAATGTGTCTCCAGTAAATCTTACCTCAAGAATGTTTCTGGCTGCTCCCAGCTCACCCATGTTGTAACCCCTCACAGAATAAGGTCCCCCAAGGGTAAAAGCATCATAACTTGGAAGGTCTCCAACACAACCACCATAATGGCCATTAAGGACAAGTACAGGTGGTGGTGGTTTCCCAGCACCTTCCTCCACCTCCTTCAACTGGATAAATCGGGTCAACGTCAGCTGATGACGGTTGAAGAAAGGAAACTTGCTGCCGATGCCAAGGCCTTGGTCCACCTACAATTCATACATAAAATATGTAGGTTTCCAAGACAGTGGAGAGGTTATGTATGAAAGTCAC